TTCACCCTGTTGATGGGGCGATGGGGTGGGGGGGAGGATCATTCTGTTTGCTCACGCTTGGTCCCACGATTTGTGGGCCTTTTCGGTCGTGTCATCCGGCCTGCGGTGGCATTGGGCAGCACATTCTCCTTTGGGGGGTTCGGGGCTAACAGGGCAGGTTTCTTCTCCTGTACTTCATTAAGTCATCTCAGAGTGGGTGCGCTTGGGTGTAGTCAAAACGACTCCGTCCCTCAGGTGGGTTTCCCCGCCTGTTTCCAGTGACGAAACGGGACTGTGCGGATCTGAGGTTCATTCTGGACTTGTCCCGTCTGAACCCCTGGATTCCTTGTCCCTCCGTTTGGATGACTACTCTGTCTTAGGTCCGGCTTCTGTTGGAGCCGGGTGCCTGGATGGTGTCCCTGGACCTCAAGGACGCTTATTGGCACGTTCCTATTCATCCGGGGTTCAGGGACTGGTTAGGTTTCGTGGTGGGGCGTCATGCTTACCGCCTTCGCTGCCCACCTTTTGGCTTGAATCTGGCACCTTGCATATTCACGCGTCTGACCCGGGTTGTGGTGACCCGTCTGTGTCTTCTAGGGATTCGGGTTTTGGCCTACTTCGACGACTGGCTGGTGTGGGCTCCCAGTCGGTCAGCTTGTCTGCTCGCCAGGAATATGGTTCTTTCTTAGCTCGGCCGGGATATGGTTCTTTCCCAGCTCGCCAGGTTCGGGTTCCTGGTGAACTGAACGACCCCCTTCCCTCAGGTGGGTTTCCCGCCTGTTTCCAGTGTCGATACGGGACTGGGCAGATCTGTGGTACATTCTGGACTTGTTCCGTTTGAACCTCAGGATTCCTTGCTCCTCCTTTCAGATGACCACTCTGTGTCAGGTCCGGCTTCTTTTGGAGCTGAGTGCCTGGATTAAATCAGGCAATACGTGTCCCTGGGTCTCAGGAAAGGCCTGGCTTAAATCTGGAACTTCACGTATTCACATGTCTTACCCAGGTCGTGGTGACCTGTCTGCATCTGTTAGGGGTTTGGGTATTGGTCTACCTCGACGACTGATTGGTGTGGGCTCCCAGTGGGTCTGCTCGCCAGGTGTGTGGTTCTTTAACTGCTTGCCAGGTTCGAGTTCCTGGTGAATTGGAGTCCCGGTCCCGTCTGGTTCCGTCCCAGGTTCGGACCTGACTGAGTCTTGTTTGGGATTCTCGGACTGCTTCCTTGTCTCTCCCTCCAGAGGCGTTGCTGCGGCTGCAGTCCCGCTGTTGGCTGTTTCTGAGGGGTCCCGGGTCACTCGGTGGTTGCTCGAGTGGTTGTGCCGGAGTCTGAATTTCTCCATGCTAGTCTTCCTGCCTGGTTGAGTTTGGCTTCAGCGACTGTTGTGGTTCCTTCGGAGACGTCCCTTCCGCCTCTCTCCGATCATTGGGTTCGTCCTCTGGGGGCCTTGTGTCGGTTGCTGCATCACCGGCTTCCTCTTCGGGGTTTTCAGGGTTCGGTGCCTTGGCACCTTCACGAGCCTTCGCTTGATGTGTTCACGGATACGTCGTCCCTAGGCTGGGGCTTTGTGACCAGTGCTCACCAGGCCGGCCAGGGACGGTGGGTTCTATCCTTCCGTTGGGCTCACAGCACGGTTCGGGAGTTTGCGGCAGTCTGGTTTGCGCTTCGGAGGGTTCAGGTCACTTGGGGATCAACCAACCGGCTCCATTTGGACTGTTCTCCGACGATTCATTGCCTGACCCACGGGGGTTCTCTTCAGTCCTTGGCTCTTTGGGGTTGGTACCTTCGAGTGGTTCGTCTGCTGGATTTTCGGGGTTTGGCTCTCCGTGCGGTTCATGTCCGGGGAGTGTCCAGCATTCTGGCGGACGGCCTGTCTCGCTTCATTCCCCTGTCCACGGAATGGACGGTCGACGATGACTCGGTTCGTTGGATCTGCCTGACGTACAGACTCCCAGATGTGAACCTCTTCGCGTCGGCGTGGTCTCGGCATCTTCCAGTCTATGTGACGCCCTTCCCCGACTGCAAGACGTTCACAGTGGATGCCTTTCGGCAGGACTGGTCGAGTGGGGTTTACCTGTACCTCTTCCTCCCGGTCCAGCTGTTGCTTAGGGTTCTGGCTCGGTTGGAGACCTTCCCAGGGAGAGTAGTCTTTGCGGCCCCTTGGTGGCCGGCCCAGCTTTGGTTTCCTGCGCTATTGGCTCGGTGTCCGAACCCAAGGCGTTTCCCGCACCTCCCCTTTTTTCAACAGGTCGAGCTGGTTCAAACTTCTCTGCTCTTCGTGTCTGATCTTTTTGACGCGGGTGTATCACCATTTCTGTGGTGATCAGGTGGCTTTGTTGATGGTGTCCCACTTGAGAGCTTCGTCTCGGCGACAGTATGAAGTTTCCTGGCGTTCTTTTCGACATTTTCTTGCTCTTCATAGGTTGTCTTATATTTTGGATTGGGTTATCTTATCCTTTCTTGGCTTTTTCAGGACCGTCATTTGATGCCTAATACTGTCGCCTCATATCGTGTGAGGCTGGCGGAGTCGCTCCAGCTAGCGTGCAGGGTGGACGTCACATCTGCCCTGTTTCCATAAGCTTTCTAGTGCTATGTTTCACCTCCGGCCTGCTCACGCGCCGTCTGAGCCGTCCTGGTCCTTGGACAGGGTGCTCTCCTATCTTTCCTCTCCTTGGTTTTGGTGGCCCCTTCGGTTCAATATTGTTTTTCCAAGGCTTTGCTTTTGTTGGCATTGGCCTCTGGGGGTCTGGTAGGGGAGCTTCATGCTCTCCTCCAGCACAGGGGTTTCTGCTCTTTTGGTCCTGGGGGTAGGTTTGTCCGTTTGCAGCCTTCTCCATCTTTTCTGGCGAAGAACTAGACGGCTGCTTTCTGGAGGGTCCGTGGGTCATTGATGCTTGGTTGGTTCGACCGGGGATGCATCATGTGTTGTGTCCGGTTGAGGCTCTTTGCCAATACCTGCGTGCCTCAGCTGGGGTGGCTGGGGATGCGTTTTGGGTTGATCCGGTTTCCCTCGTTCCCTGTTCCAGGGTTCGGGTCTCCCAGGTTGTCCGAAAGGGCTATTAAATCTAGCCAGCCAGCCTGTGGTCTATCCTCGCGCCCATGACGTTCGGAAGTTTGCAGCTTTAGTTGCCGTGTTTGGTAACATGTCTTGGGCTCATATTTGGGCACGTGGATTTTGGCAGTCAAACAGGGTCCTGGCCGTCCGTTATTTGCTGACCATGTCTGCTCCTCAGCGTTCTTGGGTTGCTTTGGGTCGCAGGTTGCAGCCAGTTGTCTCGACTTCGCGTTAAGGAGCGTGTGGCCGCCGCCTCCCAGGTAAGTCCCTATTTTCCTTCTCTTTGTGTATGTAGCTCCAGGGAGCCGTAGGGGCTCCCCACAGAAAACCAGCGTTGAATGTAATGAAACGCCATTTTCTGGGTGAGCCTCGGAGGCTCCCTGGCTACCCTCCCTCCCATCCGGTTGTCCGGTTGGCATTTTTTTCCCACGTTGGTTGAAGCCTAGTTCCGAATTGTGTAAATTGTGATAATAGCTTGTTTGCTTGTTTCCTTGGGATTGTAGGGAGTTTCTATTTCTCTGTTCGGTTTTTGTTTTAGTTTCTGACCATGTGGGGTTATGAAAGGTAGGCATAACCATGTTATGCCTACCTTTCTGGGTGCCAAACCCCGGTCGATGGCAGATAAGGAAAACCCCGAACCACAAGGGGGTTTTCCAGGGCCATTGCTCCCTGAAACCTCTCTGAAGGGGCCAGGTTCTGGCGCTGATTCCCTGGGTGGTCTGAACTCCATAGCTAATGTCCCAGTCTAATATAACATACATTAGCCTGATAAATTCCAGGGAACCTCCGAGGCTCGCCCAGAAAATGGCGTTTCATTACATTCAACACTGGGTTTTTTTCCTGATGGTTGTCACTTCTTAGAAATAGGGAATTTTTAAATTAAATATTTTTTTTCTGTATCTTGCTTACCTGATTTATGTCTACAGGGAGGAAGATCCAGCTCTTGATCCTTGCTTCATAGCTGTTGCATCTAGTATAATTTACCTATAGATTTTCCAGTAATGGACCTGTTGATGATTTCAAGAGTTCCTCCTCTCTTACAGCCTGGCCCTGTGGCCAGCCTTCCGCAGCGATTCCCTGGTCTGAGAGGCAGTTTGTCTTCGTAGCCACAAGACCCACATAGCAATGACAGCCTGGCTGATTCATTATCTCCAGCAGAAACTTGTCTAGTTCCCTCTTTAAAGCTTCCTCTCTTATTCCAGTGACATTTCTTATATTCATTGGCAGGAGACTGAGAAGTGGCCCTCTGATGTGTACACTGTGTTCACTAATAGTGCTTATTGAACCCAACTTTTCATTGGATTTATTTTATACTTCCTACCATATCTCTCACTCTAGTATGCAGGCTTGGGATCAGAGCTTCAAGTATTTGTATATATGTGTATATTCCATGTGTATATGTTGTTATCTTTGGTCTTGAGAATGTCACTGGTCTCTATCTTTGGTCTTGAGAATGTTGACCCCACCTCTGATTCAAGCTCATCTAGTTGTTTGCTACTCAGTTTAGGGATAATTCCCTCCAGTCTGTATTAACTGGTTCTAAGCACTGAACCTCACACCAGATATGTTAGCTAGAGATCCTATTGATCACTAAACCTCTTACCAAATATTTTATCCAGATGCTCTATTAAGCACTGAATCTCACACCAGATATGTTAGCTAAAGGTCCTAATGAGCACTGAACCTCATACCATATATACTAGGTAGAGGCCTTGCAGCACAGAACCTGTTACCTTGCATGATAGGGAGGCAGATGGCTCTGGCTCTGCTGCTGTGGGGTCTTGTAGTTGAAAGTGATCTTATAACTTCAGTTCCAGCTTGCCAAGCATCAGCACTAAAAACAGTGTATATTGATACTTTTCTTCTTGTCCTCTGTGCACCACAGTGGGTGTGTAATGTTTCTAACCTTGTAATAACATTTCAGTTATATGTTCCAACTTATTGGGTTAAATTTTTGTTGCTATTGCACAGGTATGCTGATATAATTGTACATAGACTGCTTGCAGTCATCATTGAAGCAGATAGGACCTACCCAGACCTCTTGGACCCAAAGAAATTAGCAGATCTTAGTCAGCACATCAATTATCGTCACAAAATGGCTCAGTATGCAGCCAGAGGATCAGCAGTAATTACAGCCATTGTAAGTTTTCCCTGTATGTTTGATATATTTTTTCTTGTGACCTAAATTCCAACAATACTTTTAGAATGTGTTCTTAAGTCTCCAAATTCCTTGTGAGTTCAGACATACTCCAGGTTGTGTTACTGTTAAGCATATCATGGTTCATGGTTGAGGCACGCTAACTCCCTGTTGCTAGCAGCTCGGGATAGTTCCACACCTATCAAACTGCACCAGTCCCTTGTAAGTCATTAATAGCCTGCTGGATTCAAGAGGCCAAAACAAGATTCCCTCATAAAGTGCAGAGAACACTTTCTAACTGATCTATTTTTCCTCTATTATGTCTATTACAAACGTAAATTTCTAACACACACACATACACACATTCCCAGGAAGCAGCTGTGTTAGGTACCTATTTACTGCTAGGTGAACAGGCCATTAGGTGAAAGAATCTGTCCATTTGTTTCTGCTTTGGTTTCTGTGTGTGTGTAATTACCTAAGTGTAGTTACAGGATGAGAGCTATGTTCATGGTGTTCCATCTTCCCAGTACTCTGTCATATAATGCTTTAAAACTACTGATGGTTTTGGCCTCCACCACCTTCTCACTTAACTTGTTCCAACCATCTACCACTCAGTTTGCAAAAGAAAACTTTCTAATATTTTTTCTGGGGGAGCCCCGTCGGCTCCCCGGAGCTATCCAGGCTGATTGGATATGTATAACTTTCTGGCATCAGTCAATGTGCATGGAGTTCTTGCCTACTGGGAACCACGAGCCAGAACCTGGCACCCCTCAGAGAGGCGCAAGGAGCAGTGGCCTATAGAAACCCCCGTGTGGTTTGGAGCATTCTATGTCTGCCATCAACCGGGTCTGGCACCCAGAAAGGTAGGCGTCCCAAAACAAATCCCTATTCTGGTGACACTATTGCTTCCGAAAGCCGAACAAGTGGTCAGAACTTCCCCAAACGAAAAGTAGCAAACTAACATGACGTCATCACGTTGCTGCGCTGCTGTCTGCGAACCCCTCCTTCCCCGGGAGGGAGGAGCCCCAGACCCCCGTGCCGGCAGACCAACGGCCAGTTCTTGGCTGATGTGATTCAGGAGAAGTCGTGTGCCTCTGGCTCTTGTTTTGTTCTCAGTCCTATAACCAAAACGGGGCAGTCTCGGGGCATCCAGGGCCACAACCAACCTAGCACGTTGCAACAACCTAAATCTAGCATGCAACGCAGCAGCTGCCAAGCACCCTCATGTCATGTTCATCATGTTCAGTAACTTGGGTGAACTGGAGCACATACAGAAAACAAACATCACACGACTCTGGATCAAAAGAATCACCGACCCAACAGGCAGCATGGCGGAGGCACAACCAGTGAGTGTCGCCCTGAGACAAGGGGACAGAGCAACCTTCAATCTCGCATGAAGCAAGAGGGGACTCAAGGATCACATCCATCGGACCACGGAGCTCCCATGGTGTTTCCCAGAATCCTTAGCCTTCTTAACACGCAAAGGGAAGCCCAGGCAAGGTACTGCGAACCGGCGCCCAAGTCTACCAAACAAACTTCATAAAAGCCGAACCCCTGGGACGTGTCCACTCACTGGGGCCTAGCGGGAGATACCACCAACACACACAATAAAACATGCACTGACCCCAACAACAGAGAGGGGAAGGACAAGGCAGACACCCGCTCACTAAGCAGGAACAAACAAAAACAAAAGAAAAATCCTGCAAGATGAAAACATACCCAGGCGGAACAGAGCCGGCCGCTATAATAGGTGATAACTAGCTGTGCTGTACCCCTGCACCCCTACCAGTGAGGAAAACTACCGCCTACCCAGAGATAAACAAGGGCTACAAAACCCCAGCTGACCCCAAGGGCAGCCAAGTACAGAGCAGTAAAAGACACAGCAGAGGTAGATCCCAAGGTGACTTGTAGAAGGAGCCCCCAAGTCCCAAGGGCAGTACTTACTAGGCACCTAGGGGTTATCTTGAGATGATTTCGGGGCTTTAGCGTCCCCGCGGCCTGGTCCTTGACCAGGTCTCCTTTTTGTTACACCCCCCAGGAAGCAGCCCATAGCAGCTGTCTAAATCCCAGGTACCTACTTACTGCTAGGTAACAGGGGCATCAGGGTAAAAGAAATATTTTGCCCATTTGTCTTCGCCTTCACCGGGGATCAAACCCGGAACTTCAGGACTACGAATCTGAAGCCCTATTCACCCAGCTGTCAGACGCCCTTCCCCTTTCAAGGGAAGGAAACCCTAGGCGCATGCAGCCCGAATACCGTAGAATATTTCTCCTGGCTCACACACCACCTGTAGAGACAGCCCCACACCACAAGGCTCAGAACTGAGACAAAACAGGAGCCAGAGGCACACAACTTCTCCAGAATCACATCAGACAAGAACTGGTAGTTGGATTGCCGGCGCGGGGGTGTTGAGCTTTGCTCTTTCAGCCCGCTTCTCAACTGTCAATCAACTATTACTAACTACTATTTTTTCCCCCTCACACACACACACACCCACATCCACACTCAGGAAGCTGCCCATAACAGCTGTCTAATTCCCAGGTACCTATTTACTGCTAGGTAACAGGAACATCAGGATGAAAGAAACTGCCCATTTTGTTTCTCGCCGGCACCGGGAATCGAATACCGGTTCACAGGATTGTGTGTCCAATGTACTGTCCATTCAGCCACCAATGCCCATTCCACCCCACACCTACCCACCACCACCACCACCACCACCCACACCTACCCAACACCACCACCACCACCACCACCCAACCTGTCCTCTTAAAAGGAACGTCGCTTTTGGCCGTTTGCCCGTATGGCCGAAAGTGGACGTAATTTGAAAATGAAAAAAAATTTAAAATAAATTTGGGATTTTTTTTTCAACGACAGTAAGTTAAGGGTCCTCTGATAGGTTAGGTGGGCAGGAAATTCTCATAAAGTTTCAAAACGTTATGAAAAACGTTAATGGAAAGTTCCTCTTCTAAGCTGTCCGAGGAGGGCCGGACGACTCAAATAGAAAACGGACCAGTACGTCACTTTTGTGAGTCGATTTCATTTCAAATTACGTCCAAATTTGGCCATAGTGCGCATACGAGCCAAAAGTGACGTTATTTTTAAGAGGACGGGTTGCACCACCACCACCACCACCACCACCCACACCTACCCAACACCACCACCACCACCACCACCACCACCACCCACACCTACCCAACACCACCACCACCACCACCCACACCTACCCACCACCACCACCCACACCCACACCACCCACACCTACCGCCCCCCCCCCCCCCCCCACCACCACCCACACCTACACCCCCCCCCCCCACCACCACCACCCACACCACCCCCCCACCACCACCCCCCCATACCACCCCCCCCCCCCCACCACCCATACCCCCCCCCCCCCCACCACCACCCATACCTACCTACTCCCCCCCTCTCCCCACCACCACCACCACCCACACACCTACCCCCCACCACCCACACCCACCCAATACCACCCACACCCACCCAATACCACCCACACCCACCCAATACCACCCACACACCACCACCACCTACCCACCACTCACACCTACTCACCACCACCACCTACCCACCATCCACACCTACCCCACCACCACCCACACCTACCCACCACCAACACCACCCATACCTACCCCCCCCCCCCCCACCACCACCCATACCTACCTACTCCCCCCCTCTCCCCCCACCACCACCACCCACACCTACCCCCCACCACCCACACCCACCCAATACCACCCACACCCACCCAATACCACCCACACCCACCCAATACCACCCACACACCACCACCACCTACCCACCACTCACACCTACTCACCACCACCACCTACCCACCATCCACACCTACCCCACCACCACCCACACCTACCCACCACCACCATCCACACCTACCCAACATCCACACCTACTCTCATTCTCTCCCTACCTCTGTACATATTGTATAATATAAACTGTATATACCTTTAAATTTGTATTAAGTACACTTTAATATAACAAACCAGGTATGTTATAATGCTAAGTTAATCATTTTTTCAATTTATTCTTTATACGGCTTATATTATGAGTTCATAAACTTGGGCTAGTTGGTAGAGCAAGAGCCTTGCTTCTTGTTGTCATGATGCCATCCCCATGGTCAAAGTAGTTGGGTGCCATTCCTTTATTCTCTCCTCATATCTCAACTCCTTGTCCTCATAACCCTTCCAAGTGTTGCAGACGATGAGTCACAATAATGTGGCTGAAATATGTTGACCAGACCACACACTAGAAAATGAAGGGACGACGACGTTTCGGTCCGTCCTGGACCATTCTCAAGTTGATTGTGTCAAGTCGATCAATACAACACTTCCAAGTGTTGTATTGTTATACGTAATAGCTAAGTACTCTCTCCTTATTCTACTACATATAGGTACTCAGGACCCAGAGCATAGGCTTAAATCCTCTTCCTCATGGCTCCTACTGATTTTCTTCTTTTCCTTAGTGTTACCCTACCTATTTTATGAGGTCTGTCAACCTGTTTTGTTGTGTTTAATAGACATGCAATGAAGGCAGTTGAACTAAACACACACACGAGGTATACAGTAGTAATTTATATACAGTATGCTAATTTACAGTGAAGTATATATGAATTTCTGTATTAATAGACCATATATATTTTGTATCGTAATTATTTTTTTTTATTTCAGGCTTCTCTGAGAGGCAAGGTGTCAGAATTTGATTCATATGTGTTGTTTTTGCACAAAAATGCCATTCAAGTGTTAGCGCCAACAATTGGCCAGCAACTGACTTTATTCCTGGACAAAGGAGGGAACAAGGATAAAGAAGCAAAGATAGGAAAGCCACAACAGGTGTCTTCACAAGCAATGGAAGTGGAGGAGGAGACACCAGCAGTGGAATTTGAATTTAATGAACAGGTTGGTAGATTTGTTTCTTTTTTGGTAGTTAGATAAATGTCAGATTTACAAATAATAGTTTTCTGTAATGTTTGTATGTTAATTGTTTTGTTACTCCCATATACAGTGGGGATGTGGGGATGTGGGGGAGGTGTCAGTGGTGTGGTGGGGTAGGGACGGGGGCCATCAAATAAGCCTATCACACTCGAACCCGTTAGCCAGATTTGTTTCTTAAATTCTGGATGTATGTCATCATATATATTTTTGGTTACAGATTTTGTTTAATAATATTATTAGGACAATAAAACCAGTGTTGAATGTAATGAAATGCCATTTTCTGGGTGAGAGGGCTCCCCAGAGCTATTTGGCTGATACGGATGTACAGTATAAGCTTTGGGTATCAGTCAATTTACATGGAGTTCTAGGCCTACCGGGGACCACAAGCCAGAACTTGGCCCCCTCAAAGAGGCGTGAGGAGCAATGGCCTATAGAAACACCCTATATATATGGTTTAGAAGTACTCTATGTTTGCCATTGACCGGGTTGGGCACCCAGAAAGATAGGCGCCCCAAAACACCTTCCCATTCTGGTGAATAAATGCTACCAAATGCCAAACGAGAGGATAGAATTCTCCCTGAAGAAAAACGATCAAACGAGCATGACGTTATCTTTACCAACGCGCCATCGTCTATGCAACCCCTCCCCCCCTCCCAGGGAGGGGGAAGGGGGAGCCTCAGACCCCTTGCCGGCTACCCGAGCCTGTCAGTTCTTAGGCTGGATGTCAAAACACGCGAAAAGAACCATGGACTGGAGGGAGGACTGATGCCAGGGAGCCTATGGGTATCACGCATAAAATGGCATTTCATTACATTCAACACTGGTTTTCTGGGGGGAACACCTTCGGCTCCCCGAAGCTAACTACCCAAAGACAAGCTCAAAAGAGGGACAAACCCAGGAGGCGGAAACCATACCCCCGAAACCCAAAAAAAGACAGCTGGCAACACCGAACGACCCCACGGACGACCCGGGAGACCCGAGCCCTGGAACAGGGACGAAGGGAACCCAGGTAACACAAAGCGGTCCAGGGTAGTAGAAGCCATGGCACGCAGGCTATGCAGAGAGCCACAACCGGTCTCAAGAAAATGCACCCCCAACCAAACCAAACAAGCATCAACAACCTTAGGGAACCCTCCGGAAAGCAGCTGGCCCAACCTTGCTAGAAAAGAAGAGACGGCTGCAAACGAACAAACCGGACACCAGAACCCAAAGGAACAGAAACCTCCGTGAAACAATCCGGAGCCGAAGGAGCCACAACAAACTGAGGGGAAAGAGAAGACAGCCCCCAGACCAAGACCAGAATGGCTCGGGCGGCACATGAGCCGGCCAGAGGTTAAACAATGCCCGAGACAGCTTGCGAAATGGTTCAGAAGAACATCAAAACTGAAAGCAAGCTTTAGCAGCTTTAGCAGCTCCACCAGCGCCACACGAGACACAGCAACGCACACAGGTGGGACACCCGGCGAGCTGGGTAAGAACGAAATCTCTGACGAGCAAACTTGCCCCGTCTGGGAGGAACCTTCCCCCGGGACCACCGAAGAACCAACAAGTCCGACCCGGACGAAAACTAGAAGAAGCTGTTTGCAGAATCTGCCCAACCGTATACTACGCAAACAGCTAGGACAAAAACAGAAAAGCAAGGGGCACCGGCAGAAGCCAACAAGGAAACAAGCACTACTAGCCAACACGCAAAATGTGAAGCGAAAAATTGCGACACTGCAACCTGCATGAACGGCGGAAACAGCTCCAGCGGTGCAGACGACGTATGTGGCACCAATTTATGGATGAGGAGAACACTGGAGGACATGTATGGAACTAAAGTACAACGATTCAATACGTAAAAGAAATACAAATAAAAGTCTGCATCCAGGGCTGTAAACTCTGCCTCCTCTCGTTCTAATGACAACGAACATTAGGGGGCAGTAGTTGTTGATTGAGAACTACCATCATCTGCTGACGGTTCAACAGAGCAGCTCGTAATATCATACAAGGAGAAGATGAAATAACACAGATCTATAACTGAACACTGGCACTGTGCAGGATCAGGGATCCGAACACGTACATAGTCTTAGCCTAGCACTAATATTAGTATAGCCAATATGCACACTAATAAACAAGGTGAATAATAGAGGTATGAAGTATGCAAATATGCAATGAAAAGACTGTAAAAGTTGTCCAAGAACCAGTAACCAGGGACAAGAGAGTACATTCAAGATAATGAAGTAACATGACGTAAGTAGCAAGTGGAAATGTAATGTATATGAACTATTACATATACAGAATGATGCCAAGGCACACAAAAGGAGTCAGTCAGGCATTGAATAACTGTCAAGGAATGAGCAGCCAGATTGTATGGTTGCATGGAATGACAGGCAATGAACGAGTGTCCAGTCCAGAAAAGATTCAGTCACTGAACGAAAATCGGGGCCAAGCCCCACTGTGTTACGAACAATAAAGACAGACATGTGAAGGTTACATCAAGATGTACAGTATGGTATATAAAAGGCATTCAAAATGTATAGATTCCAAGGGAATGAAAGGGGCAGTCAGGCATGGAATGAATGACTGTCAATGAATGAGAGTGGCCAGAGTGAATGACTTGTCAAGGAACGAGTGTCCAGAGACAGGAAAAGATTGTCGGTTGGCAATGTGGCAGGAATTATCTACCCAAAAGAATCTGTTAGATCAAGGACCTGCCAAAAATGCCATGCGCACCAGTGGCCCTACAAGAATGTAACCATCAATGCTATGTACTCCTTGAACCCCCAATGGACTGCACGCAAAGCAGCCAAACAACATACCACAAACAATACCCAACACTCATCCAAAAGACGAGAATTGGAGCCTGGCTGACAGCGTAGCAGGCCGGCACGGCTAGTGAAATATGACCGCAGATGCGAATGCAGGAGTGGAGTAAAGGTATAGGCGGCATCACTATGACCCACCCCACACCGTAATTGAGATAAAAGTACAAGGAATGTACTCTACAAATACAATCCAGAAGTCCCCTAGTATCCAGGGAGCCAAAACTGGAGATATAAGATTAGGTAGCGTGGTGCATGTCCCAAGACAAAGGGCGTCTAACACCAACACGTGTTGACACTGTCCATAAACAATACGAACAACCCCGGGCCATTCTCAGCATGCCGAGGTCCGAGCTGGGTGGTCTCTCCCCCGCATTCAGGGAGGGTAGCCCACAATGTTCTTGTATCAAGATAAAACTTGACCATAATGTAATTAGATATAGTACTGAAAGAAGAATAGTAGTACTGAAGAGGACCAATGAATCTCATAAAATATTGGAGACAATCTCCATCAGAAGCAACAGATGTTCCAATAGTTTTTTTTTTTAATTAAGGAAGGCCGCCCCGAACCTTCCAGACCCTTGAGAATCATGTACAAAGCCACGTAGGCTCATATGGGCCCATTGGCTATGTAGGATCCAGTTGAAGTAGGATTGATGGATAAAGCGGGGAAAATGTGCCCCAGGAACGGTGGAACCGATGGACCCGAAGGAACACAGAACCAAACCTGGGAAGGGGCCGACACCAAAAACCGATCTGTACGTAGAGGGGGGTGGGGAGAAAACCCTACGCCATATAACGGTAAGCTCAACTCGGAGGGTAGGAAAACCCAAGGGGGGGTCCAATGGGGCCTGAGTGCCCCCCAGTCAGCTCCTTCCCAACCCTGGGGACCTCCACACCAGAACCCGGGGCCGAATTTTCCTCCAAAGCCCCGGCCTCTAAAGAAAAACCCGGGGCAGCCATAAAAACACTAAATAAGGGGTGCCCACTGGTCAGACCCGTACGCAACAGCTGGAGGATCCGGCTCAAATGCTTCTGTCACCACACCGGAAGGGGCATCCCCAGAGACTGCCAGTCTCTCAAAACCAGGGAAACCCCGCCCAGACCCCGAAGCCTTCAGACGCTTCTGAGCCAGAAGGGGACCAAAAAACACCACAGCAGGGGAAGAATGAGGGGGTCTAAACTAAACCAAGGCCGAAATGACCCACACCCTTAAGTCCGGGACCCTATAAGCAAAACGGGGCAGCCACGGGGGCTTCCAGAGTAGCAAACAACCTAGCGCGTTGCAGCAATCTAAACCTAGCATGCAATGCCAGAACCACCAGCAGACTGGGTGAACAGTCACAAACAAGCAACAACTCCCAGGACTCTGGGTCGAAGGTGTAACCGACCCAACAGGCAGCTGGATGGAGGCAAAAACAGTGAGAGTCACCCCTGAGACAAGGGGACAGAACAACCGTCAATCAAACTAGCAAAATGTGAGGGGGGGGGGGACTCGGGGCCACATCCAACAGACACGCGTGCCCCCGTGGGGATTCCCAGGGCCCTTAGTGTTGCAATCTCCACTAAGGGAAGCCCAGGCAGGGTACTACTAATTGACTCCCAAGATTCCAAACAAACTTCTAAGACTGCACCCCCGGGACGTGTCTGCTCACGGGGGCCCTAGCACACATATATATGTAGAGGGGGTGACCCAAACCCAAGGGCAGACCTCCTGCCAAGGCGAGGAACAAAAAAGAAACAAAAAAACTGCAAGAGTAGCATACCCAAAAGATGCAGTCGGTCGCCATGAGAGGTGAAAACTAGCTGCGTAAGTACCCTGCACCCCTACCATTGACGAATACTACCCCCTACACAGAGACAAACAGGAGGAAGACACCCCTCCAGCTGACTCCAAGTGCGGACAGTACTAAGCAGTAATTGACACAATGGAGGTAGCTCCCAAGGCGACTTGTGGAAGGAGGGCCCCAAGCCCCAAGGGCAATACTTACAGGGCGCTTAGGGAAGGGGGACCCTAAGCACATGCAGCCCCAGTACTTGTGAATATAATCCCAGCTCGCACACCACCGAAGCAAGAACAGAAAAGAAAAGCTGGAACTGGAGGTACATGACTGAAGCCCACCTACATCAGCCAAGAACTGACAGGGTCGGGTAGCCGGTGGGCGGTCTTGGGCTTCCCCTTTTCCATCCTGGGGAGGGAGGGGTTGCGCAGACGGCGGCACGTTGGTAATGAGATGATCCTATGCTTGTTTGATCGTTTTTCTTCATGGAGAGTTCTATCCTCTCGTTCAGCGTTTGGTAGTATTTATTCACCAGAATGGGGGGTGTTTTGGAGCGCCTATCTTTCTGGGTGCCCGACCCGGTCGATGGCAGATATAGAGTTCTTCTAAACCATATATAGGGTGTGTCTACAGGTCATTGCTCCTCGCGCCTTGCTGAGAGGGCTAGGTTCTGGTTCGTAGTCCCCGGTAGGCCTAGACCTCCATGTACATTGACTGATGCCCAAAGCTTACACATCCGAATCAGCCAGATAGCTCCGGGAAGGCAAAGGGGCTCTCCCAAGAAAGTTATAAAAATACTTGTTTCATGAATGCTTTATTATATTAGATGAAGATTCTCCAGGCTATCTCAGGTTTGGCAATCTACTAAGCTAGCCACCTGGGGAAGAGAGGGAGGGAGACCAGCAGTATTAAGTGGGGGAGGGAGAGCAGCAGTGATAGTGTGAGGGAGAAATGGATCAGGACTTCTCTTATTGGTGAGTGCAAAAAAAAATACTGTCGCATTTATGCTATGAACCTGTCAATTTTTTCCCCTCTCCATTTCTCGTTTATGAACTGACACGATAACTGACAGGTTTCGTCTCCCAAGGGGTTCGCAAACCAAGTGGTCCTCTGTACCTTTGTTTATGATCGTAATCCGTTCCCAGAGACGCGTCAAAATACATTTTATACCAAATAACACTTTTTGTACTAGCTACAATACAGTATGTATATCTTATCTTGAATGAGGACTTTTGTTGGCATATGGAAGATGGTGAGAAGAGAAGAAGGAGAGGTGTTAGTGTTTGGAAGGGGTTTTTGTTTTTCTCACTAAAAACCTGTGTAGCAATACTTGTTTTTCCTCCATGGTCATCCTCACAATTATTTTTTGAGGTTGAACTTTACCACTGACTTTCTTGGGACCCATGGCATGATATATAATAAGAACTTTAATGTTAAAAAAAGGCAAAAATGCAGACAAACAATTAAATTCTTCACAAAGAATTTAAGCACGGCCGCTGCCGTCACTACGCGGGATAGACTTGTTGACAAACTGAGAGTGGCTCGCGCTCGTTCGACCCATACGCGTATAAACATACGTTGTCTTCCAAGTAAACCGTCGTACACCAATTCAAATTTTACGATGAATTTGATGTCGTATACCAAATAATTTGTACTCTAGGGTAGTCATCTACCTAGGTTCCACTGTACAGTATTGTATATCTGGAGTATACCTAGAGTGGGTTCTGGGAATTCTTTTACTCCCAAAGTGCAGCCTGGGGCTAGGCTCAACTGTGATAATTTGGTCAGGCTGTTGCTTGGAGCAGCCCGCAGGCTCATATCCACTACAATCTGGTTGGTCAGTACCTCTTGCAAAAACATATCTAATTCTCTATTTTGTACCAGTGTTATTTCCTTTGTTTGCTGGGAGTGTACTGAATACCTGTGGAGCTCAGCGTTCTCTAATTTTATCTATGGTACCACTACTATTCACTGGGTCAATTCTGCATTTCCACCCATATCTTTTGCTCTAGTAGAGTATATTGCTATTGTTCATGTAAATTTTTAAAGCAAATACAAAAATAAATACAATCAGTTGGTAAGCTTAATTGGAAAACTGATGCTTTAAAATGCTTTAACTTTTTAGGAACTCTTTGTGAAATGCAATGACGTGATAATTCGTCCCTTTGACCATCTTCGTATACAAGTGAGTGTGGATGCCTCTGACGTTCAGCATCAACGTGTTGTCTGCAAACTTATTCATCCTGTCATCCCAGGATTTTCAGTTCCATCTCTAAAGCGAGAAGGAGAAGATGGAATGGATAAGGGGGTAAAGAAGTTGAAAAAGAAATAGTTTTAAATTATATATATATATTATGTAAATTATTAATAGCATTGAACATTATGAGAAGTCTGTACCTGGATGGGTTTCTGAGAGTTCATCTACTTCCCAAGCCTGGCCCCAGGCCAGGCTTGACTTGTGAGAGCTTGGTCCAACAGGCTCTCACAAGTCTTGGAGCGACCTGCAGGCCCACATATCCACCACAGCCCGGTTGGTCCGGCACTTCTTGAAGAAAACTGTTTGGTTTTATCTTGAAGGTGTCCATATTTGTTCTGGCAAATTTGTTTATAAATGGAAAATTCACCAATTAGGAAGTTCAAAGATTTTTAATTTATGCAAATTAATACTAATTCATTTGATTCCTTAGTTTACATTCATTATACAGCATTTCATAAACACAAGTATCTTTCATGATAATTTATGTAAGAGCCTTAAATAGATGCTAATAGACAGTAGAGATGCAACTTGAAATGCATTACTTATTTTTAAATTTAAGTTGGAATTAAAGTATGTTTTTTTATATTATTTACTAGTGTGGAAAACGTAAAACTAACTACCTGATACTGTAATATTATAAATAACAATAAAGACGTGAGTTGTCATTCTTTTACAAATATTGTAACTGTACAAAATACCCAAAGCCTGTGTGTGGCATTCTTGGCTCCAGTGTTTTTTAGATCGTGTAAATTAATAGTGTAATGAAGGAAAGTTTTCTGTACTGATGCAAAGACTTTCACAGATAAGTATAAATGTTGAATATATTTTTAAAATTTTGGCTGGTTAAATTTTCAGGAGCTCAAATTAAAAATGTGTAGTTGTGAATTCCAACAGTTTTATTTTTTATTAGACTACAAGATGTACAAAATTCTTTCCTTGTGTCCTTTCACAAAATGATAATGAAAAACCCTTATGTAATGTCTATACTGTGAATATTTTTATATTCTGCATTAGATATATGGATCGAGATATATTTACAGCTATGATCAGGAGAGAGAATTTTTATGAAACGACCTAAATTTTTAGTTGAAATTAGAGCATTTCTTATTAATGCTCTGATTATTATTAGTATGGCTGCAGAGATCCTTGTCTGAAACTCTAAAAGAAATCACATTAGCAGTGCAGTAATTCCATAAAACCTCTATTTTGATGTCATATATGTAGGACTAATGTGATCATCCATATTAATTAAGATTTTTTTTTAGTATTGAACTACCTGCAAGTTATTCCCCAAATATGAAAAATTACAGTCATACACCATAAATTTTTGTTGACATTACACTACAGTATTAGAAAATGTTTTTCAATAAAATTTTAATGAAATCACAGTTTGTTTTATATACAATGTTAAGACAGAAAAATTTGAAATAAATGTTGTATATATTCTCACTCGCCAGTACAATATCTTCACTGAAACAAAAAACAACCACCTTGACATCAAAAGGTAAATGTACTATCTACAGTATATATCCTGTCCAACACCAGTGCTTTCTTGTAGTACAACTTTACATTAACCAATTTAGAGATACAAATTTGGTAGGGAGATTCCCATCCCCCCTCGGTTGAATAGTGTCATTCTTATCCCACTGTATTACAAGAAATGTGCTCACCATATTATGGCAATTGTATCAATCCTGGGTCCAGTGAGTGAGATGGATCATGCAAATTGAACTTGTAGCAGTACAATGTTTACTCACTATAGGTGTGAGGTTAACCACTCCACTGTGCAACGCGCCTTACAGCTCTAAACGTGTGGTGCGCAACGTGCCTAGCGTATTATTCAAAACACCTGCAGCTACACAGGGTTCACATCAGCTTCCTCAGGGCTCTCCTAAACAGACGTTATTTTAAAAAATCGTGAAAAACTAGTATGAAGGCCTCGGTACTGAGTGAGTAACCAAGGCTGGCGCAAGCAGCATGAGCTAACAGCATTGCTGTTCAACTTTTTACCACAGCATCACCTAAAATTGTTCAAATATATATGTATCTGGTATTATTTAGCCATGATAGTATTACAGAAGAGCCTGACTGTGATAAAGACTGTACAATGTTCATATATCAGTGAATAAATGCTGTTCAAGATGAGCACAGCCATTATTTCATCCATCTAAAATTCTTCAAACGATTTCTCACGATCCTTTACAAAATAAACATGTGGAAAATTATTCATTTACAAATGATTTAGTGACCAGGATTCTGATAATAGCAGGATTGTGGTGGGAGAAGTATTGTTGGTGAGGGAGAGGTCGCGTCGGCTGCTGGCTGGTGTGTGGCAACATGTTATTGTCTGGAATCACTATACCAGCTTAGTGGTTCGCTATGGTGAACACAAATGTGGATACTTATATATAACATGTGTATAGAGTGTAATAACAGCAAAAGGCTTATGTTGGAAGGAGCCATTTAGATGAGGGCGGGAGGCAGGCTGTCGTCTGCTGTGTGACCTGTCATGCAGTAGCCACTATGCTGTTTGGATACCATACCAGCTTAGTTGTAGAGTTATGGTGAATAAAACATGTAGATACTTATATATAATGTGTGTATACAGTGTAATATCACCACAAACAGTATTGTGGGAGGAGTAATGCTGGCGAGTTAGGTGTTGAAGGAGAGAGGGAGGGATGGATGGGTGTGGCAGCCCACTCTGTTTTTTGGGCTCGCCATACCAACTTAGTGGTTTGCTACGGTGAACACATATGTAGATAGGTATATACAATGTGTGTATATAGTATAATTATATAAAAAACACTGATTGTAGAATATAATATACATGTCACACACACGAGCCCCATAATTTTGAGCATAGCAATGTTCCACACATTGAACTATATAAATTCCACAAATTACACACTTTTGAATAATATTACAGCAAAAAACCAGAGAAGAAACGAATGAGAATCAAAATAATTGTGGAACATTATATTCGCTGCAACTGCTGGCCCATCTGGTGGCGGGGCCTAGTAACCTTGAGCGCTCTATCGCTCAGCGCCCATAATTTTCTCAACTTCTCTGCTCCATCGCGGCTAAAGTATGTCACATAAAATATTTTTTTTTAATTTCCCGTGATCAGAGAATGCAATTTAACAATAGAGTATAAGAGAAAATAATTTTTTGGAAATTTGTTTATTATCGGCGCACCACTGGCATGTTGTACATTTAATGCAGAGCAGTGCAGTGGTTAACAATGGATAGATGTCAGTCACGGAGGCTGTTAGGCTAAGAATATATTATAATAAGTTGAATGATAGTCTGATAATTTTGGGGGAAGAATGATTGGTCATTGATTGGACACCTGCATTCCTCGTGTTTTCCATGTCCTGTTTAAACATGTGGCTTGTGTCCAGGTCTACCCGGGTACTTAATTAAGGTACCCCACAGGCAGCCCAGGCCTCCGTCCCATGATGGCCTTCTACCACTTCACACCCTTCTAAACATTTCCTCCCCTCCTACAAGAAGACATAATGCAGCGAGCACAAGGACATTACTACACAAGATAACGACAATCAGTCTCATCATAGGGACACCGTGGTTTCCACGTACTGTATGCGTCTTGAGTTAAAAAAAACGCCCTCGAGAATCTGTCATTCACTGGAAGTTGCACAAGTGGTAGTAAAAAAAAAAAAAGGCTAATCAAACCCTAAAAATAATCAATCATACCTTTGCTTTCATAGTTGAAAAACTGTTTTCCTTCACCTCTCAGCTGCTCTTGCAATTATGTTCTGCATCACGCCCAGACACAAGAAATAAAAATATATTTCATTTTATAAAAGTATTCATTTGTGTTCCCTAATCACGGGAAAAATAATAAAAAAAATCGTGGGTGGCATATTTTGGGCCCAATAGAGCGGGGACGTCTGCCCAAAAAAAGGGGCTGACAGAGCAAGCGTCAGAGGCGGGTCCGCTCTGCCAGAGCTGTCAGGCGGGAGTTGCCACAAAGATATTACCTAATTATTTCAATATCTGATTTAATTTTTCTTAGTTTTTTGCAGTAATATTATTCAATGGTGTGCAGTGTGATCACTACACACTATTGATGAATATCCTACACGTTCATAAAACAATAAACAAATAGTATTACTGTTATTACACAATATATACACAGGTTATATATAAGTATCTGCATGTTTTGTTCACCATAACTGTACAACTAAACTGGTATGGCGAGTTCAGGCAATAAGAAACATCGCCACATACACAGTCAGTTGGCAGCTGCCTCCATGATTCAAGGCTAGATGCACTAATAAAGTGCATCTAGATTTGCATCTAGTCCTCCCCCAAGGGCTAGATGTTTGTTTCTCCCCCAACAATACTGTTTGTGGTGTTATTACACTATATACACACATTATATATAAGTATCTACATGTTTTATTCACCATAACTGTACAACTAAGCTGGTATGGTGCTCAAAGACCATAGTGGCCATCCTCTACACAGCTAGACAAGTGATGCAGACAATGCCACCTCCGTCACCCAAATGGCTCCTCCCAACATAATCCTTTTGCTGTTAAAATCGCTAAATAATACCAGTTACATATATTTTGGACATTTTAAGGCGATACCATGGTCACTAGCTGAACAGTGATGTTAGCTCGTGCTGCGTGTGCCAGCCTTGGTTGCTCAGTCAGTGCTGATGCTCTCACACCCGGAAATGTTGCCCACAATTTTTTTTCTTTAAATGGCATCTGTTTACAAGAGCCCTGAGGTTGCTGATGTGAACCCTGTGTAGCCACAGGGCTTTTAAATCTTGCATGGTACTCCAACACATCAATATCTGTGGTACGCAATTCTGTGACAGTTACTCACCACAGCTATTGATGTGTTGTGTAGTTTAAGAATTAAATCTCTGGTGCGCCCCACTTGGACTATTGTATCCAAGCATGGAGACTTCATCTTCAGAAAGACACAGCTGCATTGGAGAAAGTTCATTACTGGGCACCTAAATCATTCAAGTACAAAGTCTACCTCTCAAATCAGGAATGGTTGAGGGCTTCAGGGCTAATAGCACTGCAAACCAGGCATACCTCACCTTACCTTGAGGTTACCTTGAAGTGTTTCGGGGCTTAGCATCCTCGCAGCCTGGTCGTCGAGCAGTGTAAAAGAGAGACCCTTGTGTAGGGAGAAATAGCAGTGCTATTGAGACACCCTTGTATAGGGAGAAATAGCAGTGTATTATGTAAGAGAGAGACCCTTGTATGGGGAGAAATAGCAGTGTTAAATGTTGAAAAAAAGTCTGTAACTTTGACCCCTTTCAGATGCACAGAGCATCATCTCAACAGGAAAATGTAATTTCCTAAAAAGAAAACCAATGTAAACAAAAGGGATAAAATGGTTAAGAAAAAGCAGATTCAATGCAAGAAAATATAGAGAAACAACAGTGTTAAATGTAGAAAAACAGCTTGGAACATTATAAGACATATAAATGAAGTATTGGGAAATGTGTATGACATGTATAGGGAGGGGACATTATTGGAACCAGGCAGGCAGGGGCATGTGGCAGCTCTCATCAGTCACTTGGGAGAGGGCGGCAGTGAGAGTAAGACCTGTGTTGTGGACGGTCTCCAACAAATACAGTAAGTGCAGTATTACAGATGTTTATAGCGGTGCTTCGCCTTTTCTTTATGAGTTAGAGATAGGAATTTGGGGAAATAAGAATTTTTGGAACCCTGTGTTTAAGGAGAGTAGTGTGTTGTTATTTCAGGTGTATGTACTCAGCTGTGTGTCACATGGGGGGGGGGGGGGGGGTGGATTATCCACATTTATTTTGTATTGTATACAGTATTCATTTTTAAACCCAGGCCCTTTGTAGTGACCTATGAGGAGTGGAATAGAGTAATGACCTTAAGTCCCAGGTTGTAGAGGGAGAAGGACCCCCCCACCCACTTTTTTTTCTGTATCAATCCTGGTGGAGGATCCAAGTAACCCCCTCCCCTCTGTTCTAAGAAGTGTGAAAAAATCTGGTATTTGTTAAATAAAATCCTTCTGTAAAATTGTACCCCCAAGGTGTATGTCTTGTCCCATGTAGTTAGAACTGGTGACTATTACTATATAGACCCCTCCACTTCCATTATTTATAAGGAAGTAAGAGCGGGTGTTGTTAGCGATACTTTAGGGGTACAGCTTTCAATCTCGTACCTTACACGAAGCCTGCTTGTTGCTGGATTTGTCGACCAGGCTGTTGGACGCGGCTGCTCGCAGCCTGACGTATAAGTCACAGCCTGGTTGATCAGGTATCCTTTGGAAGTGCTTGTCAAGTTCTCTCTTGAACACTGTAAGGAGTCGGCCAGTTATGCCCCTTATGTGTAGTCAGTCTTGGGCCTCTGATGTTGACAGAGTTCTCTCCCAGAGGACCTATTGCACCTCCGCTTTTCAACGGGGGTATTCTGCACATCCTGCCATGCCTCCTGGTCTCATGTGGCGTTATTTCTGTGTGCAGGTTTGGGACCAGCCCCTCTACTATTTTCCATGTGTGAATTACTATGTATGTCTCCCGCCTGCACTTAAGAGAATACAGATTTAGGCATTTCAGTCGGTCCCAATAGTTTGGATGTTTTACCGAGTGGATTCTAGCATGACAGGGCTGATCTCATCAAAATTTGTAAAATACTGAACAATTTTGAGGATGTTGATCCTGACAACTTTATAAGGTCAGATGTAACACAGACAAGGAACAATGGTTTCAAGTTCAACAAGACACAATGTAGGATTGGAAACAGGAGACACAGTATTAGGGGTTGAATTCTGGGGCCAACCCTTTTTTATACTGTACTGTACATTTATTTATTTAAATAAATAAATAAAACAGGAGATACACTACTTTTTCACCATCAGGGTTTAAAACCAATGGATCTGCCTATCTGCAGAAGCCATAAATGCCATAACTATATTGAATTTTAAAATCCAGTAGAAAAAATCATCGGGACAACTGGGGAGACCTTTGACAAGCTGCTGACATCCTATCCTCTAGGCCGCTAGTGTTAGTGGTCCTCGGGTAAATTCCCATGACGTGCAACATAATCAGAACAACATTGACAAACAATAATATAAAAAAAACTTAAAATAATTCAATAAGGGCAAAACAGTTTATATGCTTTGCCCTTGTCTTATTTGCCTAGAACATGAGACTCAATAGGAACTCACGATCCAAAGTTCATTGAAATAGCCAGTTAAAGGGAAAACATCACACACCCCTTACCCCGACCATAAGCTCTAGAGACCATAGACAGGTTCACTGGGATACCTGGAGAGGGTTTCGGGAGTTCGTCTACTTCCTGAGCCCGCCCTGAGCCGAGGCTCGAAGGCTTATGGAATAGTCCCATAATGGAAAAGACAAACACAACAGTGCTTGAAAATGCATCTGGTGAGAACAAAGCCCACCACCTAGCAGCAACAGCACCTCTTGCTGGGGATTTTTTATTTGCTGTGCCCAATGCAGCCCTGGGAACTTGCCTTAATCGTGATGCCCTTCGTATTATATAAATAAATATAGAGTAGAGTATAAATATATATGTGAGGTATATAAAGTCTGTCTGAAACATGTTCCTTTGAGGAAAACCAGAAAGAGGTCCAATTTAGAAAGTAAATACATACAACACTACAAAAGAAAGAAAAAATAACAAAAATATTTAAGCAGACACTTTCCCTACAAAGGAGGAATAATTCAAACAGGGAGATTGAAGAAACTGAGTAGAGATTAAAACATTCATATCGGATTTAAAAGCAATTTAAGATATAAAGAAAAACCCCAAAATATTTCTTCACATATACAAAATCAAAAGCAAAATCCACTGCCAGTAATGGACCTATTCGTATGAGTGAAGGTTCGTACACTTAGAATGAAAAAAGAAATTAGTGAAATCCTAAAAATGCAGTGTGAGGACATGTTTAGCACTCCAATAAAGAGCATGAAAATGAAAGATCTGGACGACTTCTTTACACGTGATATCCAAACCCCCTGTAAATACAGTAGAGCAGGATTTTGAAAGAGAAATTGACAACATGCCCATGCATTCAGCCCCTGGGTCCAGACTCCTGGAATTCATTATTTATAAAGAAATGCAATGTGCCAGTAGCACAGGCACTTGGTATAATCTGGAGGAAGTGCTTGGACACAGGGTAGATACCAGATGCGCTTAAATCAGCAGACATAGACTCCACTACACAAGGAAGGGGAGCAAAGCATTGGCAAAGACTTGTAGACCAGTTGCACTAACGTCCCACATAAAAGTATTTGAGAGTGATTAAGAGTCAGGTTATCTTGAGATGATTTCGGGGCTTTTTAGTGTCCCCACGGCCCGGTCCTCGACCAGGCCTCCACCCCCAGGAAGCAGCCCGTGACAGCTGACTAACACCCAGGTACCCATTTTACTGCTAGGTAACAGGGGCATAGGGTGAAAGAAACTCTGCCCATTGTTTCTCGCCGGCGCCTGGGATCGAATCCAGGACCACAGGATCACAAGTCCAGCGTGCTGTCCGCTCGGCCGAACGGCTCCCGGTCTCCAGTTTTATGGATACCAATGACCTCCACAACCCAGGCCAACATGGATTTAGAGCAGGAAGATCATGTCTTTCATAGCTACTTGACCACTACAACAAAATCACTGAGGCATTAGAAGTAAAACAGAATGCAGATGTGGTATACATGGACTTCGCAAAGGCATTCGATAAATGTGACCAAGGAGTGATAGCACACAAAATGGGGCCAATAGGAATAACTGGTAAAGGAGGACGGTGGATACTTAATTTTCTGTTGAACAGAACACAAAGAGTAACAGTCAACCATATAAAATGAAGTCCAAGCGCAGTTAAATGCTCTGTACCTCAGGAAACAGTCCTTGCACCGCTGCTTTTCCTTATTCTCATATTAGATATATACAAAAATACAAGTCACAGCTTCGAATCATCCTTTGCAGATGACACAAAAATCAGCATTTAAATTACCTCTGCTGAAGACTGAAAAACTACAAGCAAATACTAATAAAGTTTTTGTCTGGACAGCGGAAAATAACATGATGTTTATCAGTGATAAATTCCAGGTACTCAGGTACGGTAAAAATGAGGACCTTAAACATAATACAGGGGTTCAAAACACAATAAAATCTGCCCATAGTAGGAAAGAAGCATGTAAAGAATTTGGGAATAAGGAAGTCTGAAGACCTAACATTTAGGGAGCATAACCAAGCAAACATTGTGACAGCCAGGAAAATGATTACGAGAACTTTAAAATCCAGGGATCCCATCACAATGGTTGTACTATTCAAATCACTTGTGCTGTCCCATCTTGAGTACTGCTCAGTACTCATTTTCCCCTTCAGAGCAGGAGAGATTGTTGAAATAGAGGGAATACAGATAACATACAGTATATGGCATACGTAGATGCGATAAAGCACCTAAATTATTGGGATCGTCTCAAAGCTCTCCAAATGTCCTCACTAAAAAAGAAGACGAGAGATATCAAATAATGTACAGTAAACGTGGAAAATACTGGAGGGCCAGGTCCCAAATCTACACAGTAAAATAACAAAATACTGGAGTGAATGACATGGAAGGAAATGCAGAGTAGAACCAGTGAAGGGCACGGGTGCCATAGGCAATATCAGAGAACACTGTATAAACATCAGAGGTCTACGGTTGTTCAACATACTCCCAACAAGTATAAGAAATATTGCCAGAACAACCGTGGACATCTTCAAGTGAAAACTAGATAGTTTTCTTCAATTAGTGCCAGACCAACTGGGCTGTGATGGATATGTGGGCATGCGGCAACCAGGAGGCCTGGTCGACGACCGGGCCGCGGGGACGCTAAGCCCCGGAAGCACCTCAAGGTAACCTCAAGGTATGCGGGCCGTTCCAAACAACAGCCTGTTGAACAAAGCTCTCACAAGTCCAGCCTGGCCTCGGGCCAGGCTTGGTGAGTAGAACTCCCAGAACCCCATTAAGGCGGTATTGGAGTTGCCCTTTGCCTTGCCGTCCTCAACCTCATAAAACACAGGTGCATTTGCGGAAGCGCAACGACAGACCAGTATGGTCATCTTGGAAGGATGGCAAGCTAGTGGTGTGGGACTACACATGTGCATCCACACTAGCCAGTACCTACCTAGAATACATGCAAGGAAAGGGAGTGGTGCTGCTTCTTTCAGGGAAATGCAGAAAACCATTAAATACAAAGGTCTGGCACACTGCTACTGCTTTGTTCCGATCAGCTCAGAGACCCCTTGGTTCATGGGGAAAATGTGCATTGAAGTTCCTGAAGGAACTGGGTGACAAATTGATCAGTGTTACAAAGTTAAAAGTTCTTGTTCCAACACCTCAGTGTTTCTGTTCCGAGGGAACATGCCTGCTGCATCTTGGGCACGTGCCAACCTCAGAGGGGTTTGAGACGACTTGCAACAGCATTCGAATCTATTTTTGATATACACTAATGTATTCCATTGATTTTGTTTAATTTCACTTGTAATAGTTGTCATGTATATGTTAATGCATGCAATTTGCAATCATGTACAATAAAGTTCACAATCAAATAGGGGTGATAGGAGTAGTAAACACTTAAGACATCAGGGACAAATGACAAATTTTCTCTGAAAGCTCCCTATTTGCTTCTCCGAGGCTATGAGTCCCCACAACTGCACCACATACATATGTGTGGACATTTGCATATATAAGCATATATTTTGCATATATATATATATATATATATATATATATATATATATATATATATATATATATATATATATATATATATATATATATATATATATATATAAGCAGTATGGCCATTTGATATATACATGAGACTACAATAATACAAAAAATGACAGCTAACTTGATACAGTATATATATTTTTAATATGTGGAAGAACACTATTATTGTTTATTTATATACATAATTTTATAAGGGTGCATTGTAAATCTAAGTTTCTAAATTAATATGAAAGAGTTCCAGTTTGATTAGAGTATAATGGTACAAGCAATCTTTTTTATATAAATATTTACACATTTAATTTAATTGAAAAAATATTTTACCCAACCGTAAATCACAGCTTTGATTCTCTAAATTTGTAAATAAATAAAGCTAATTATTTGTCAGCATTAAATAATTTTATTTGCCTGAAATATCACTAATCATTAATTTGATAAAATAATTTAATATGGACATTATAAGTCCCTTTCTAGGTCTAAAAGTTATTCTTTTAGTCATTTACTGTATGATTAAATACTACAATATATATTTTACTTCAACTTGCATAATTCTGCAAATAAAATATTGAGTCTACACAGTACTGTACATTCAAAAAACTTTTAATTTATGCAAAATGTTTTAATCTTGTTTCTTTAGCTTGCTTTCCTCCCTTAAATCCTCTCTAATGATGAAGAACATTTCTGCAATTCCAACAACTACAGCCGAAATTGTGGCTATTAATGCCCTAACACCATAATCAGGGGTGGCTAGACCCATTCCAATAAAAACAGCAAAGAATGTACCCACAAGAGACAAGAGATACTGCATCCCTGAAATAATCTGTCTATTAACACTTCTCAATTCCTTACCAATATCTCCAACATTATTGCTATCTTTAAAATGAGAAGGATCAATGGATTTGGTCATATTTTTGTACTCTCGATTTTCTTGCTCAAATCGAAGTCTTTGAATTCTAGCCTCAAGTTCTGGATTTCTTGGAGGGGGCTCATACTTTGGTAAAACTATTTCACTCTCTGCTAACAACTCGTGAACCCTTTCTGATATGCCACATTCTCTCAATTTTGAATGACACCATTTTATTTCTTGAGTGGTCAAGATGATTTTGCAGTCAGTAATATCTCCATCATCTGTAAGCTTTACCTTAATACTGTTAGGAACTCCAATTGAATTTTGGAGTTGTTGGATGGTTGATACCTGGTTGATGGGGTTCTGGGAGTTCTTCTACTCCCCAAGCCCGGCCCGAGGCCAGGCTTGACTTGTGAGAGTTTGGTCCACCAGGCTGTTGCTTGGAGCGGCCCGCAGGCCCACATACCCACCACAGCCCGGTTGGTCCGGAACGTCTTTTAGAAAACAGTCTAGTTTTCTCTTGAAGATGTCCACGGTTGTTCCGGCAATATTTCTTATGCTCGCTGGGAGGACGTTGAACAGCCGCGGACCTCTGATGTTTATACAGTGTTCTCTGATTGTGCCTATGGCACCTCTGCTCTTCACTGGTTCTATTCTGCATTTTCTTCCATATCGTTCACTCCAGTACGTTGTTATTTTACTGTGTAGATTAGGGACCTGGCCTTCCAGTATTTTCCATGTGTATATTATTTGGTATCTCTCTCGTCTCCTTTCTAGTGAGTACATTTGGAGAGCTTTGAGACGATCCCAATAATTTAGGTGCTTTATCGCGTCTATGCGTGCCGTATATGTTCTCTGTATTCCCTCTATTTCAGCAATCTCTCCTGCTCTGAAGGGGGAAGTGAGTACTGAGCAGTACTCGAGACGGGACAACACCAGTGACTTGAAGAGTACAACCATCGTGATGGGATCCCTGGATTTGAAAGTTCTCGTAATCCATCCTATCATTTTTCTGGCTGACGCAATATTTGCTTGGTTATGCTCCCTAAACGTTAGATCGTCGGACATCATTATTCCCAAATCCTTGACATGCTGTTTACCTATTATGGGCAGATTCGATTGTGTTTTGTACCCTGTATTATGTTTCAGGTCCTCATTTTTGCCGTACCTGAGTACCTGGAATTTATCGCTGTTAAACATCATGTTATTTTCTGCTGCCCAATCGAAAACTTTGTTGATATCTGCTTGTAATTTTTCCATGTCTTCAGCAGAGGTAATTTTCATGCTGATTTTTGTGTCATCTGCAAAGGATGACACGAAGCTGTGACTTGTATTTTTATCTATATCTGATATGAGAATAAGGAACAGCAGTGGTGCAAGGACTGTACCTTGAGGTACAGAGCTTTTAACTGCGCTTGGACTTGATTTTATTTGATTGACTGTTACTCTTTGTGTTCTGTTCGACAGGAAATTGAGTATCCAGCGTCCTACTTTACCAGTTATTCCCATTGACCTCATTTTGTGTGCAATCACTCCATGATCACATTTGTCGAATGCCTTTGCAAAGTCTGTGTATACTACATCTGCATTTTGCTTTTCTTCTAGAGCTTCTGTGATTTTGTCATAGTGGTTGAGTAACTGTGACAGACAGGATCTTCCCGCTCTAAATCCATGTTGTCCTGGGTTGTGTAACTCATTATTTTCCATAAAACTAGAAATTTGATTCCTAATCACTCTTTCAAAAACTTTTATTATGTGTGATGTTAGTGCAACTGGCCTATAATTTTTTGCCAAGGCTTTACTTCCCCCTTGTGCAAAGGAGCTATATCTGCAGATTTAAGTGCTGCTGGTATCTCCCCTGTATCTAGGCTCTTTCTCCATATTACGCTGAGTGCTCGCGCTACTGGTACTTTACATTTCTTTATGAATATTGAATTCCATGAGTCAGGCCCAGGAGCTGAGTGCATGGGCATATTGTCAATTTCTCTTTCAAAGTCTTCCGAGTTCGTGTTAATATCCGTTATATTATCTGCAGCTTGAATGTCATTCATAAAGAAGCTGTCTGGGTCATCAACTTTCATGTTGTTTATTGGTGTGCTAAACATAGCCTCATACTGGCTTCTTAGAATTTCACTAATTTCTTTGTTGTCCTCTGTGTACGTACCTTCAGTTGTAATTAAAGGTCCAATACTGGTGGAGGTTTTTGATTTTGATTTTGCATATGTGAAAAAATATTTTGGATTTTTCTTTATCTCTTGTATAGCTTTCTGTTCCAATTCCATTTCCTCAGCCTCGTATGATCGCTTCAACGTTTGTTCTATTTCTTCGATCTCCCTGTTTAGGTTTATTTTCCTTGCTTGTGATAGTCGTGTCTGCCTAAGCATTTCCGTTATTTTTTTCCTTCTCCTGTACAGTCGTCTGCGTTCTCTTTCTAGAGTGGTCCTCTTTCTGCCCCTCCTCACAGGCACGTGCTTCAGGCAGACCTTGTATGCTTCAGCTGTCAGTTGATCTATTCCCTGTGTGGGAGTTTTGTCGCTTAAGACCGTCTCCCATTGAATGGTTGCAAGGTCTACATTTATTTTTTCCCAGTCGATCCTCTTATTGTTGAAATTGAATTGATTGAATATTCCTTCTCGCTTGTTGGGTCTCTTAGACCTACTACCGTTATTTATGCTAGTTCGCACTTCAATGAGCTTATGGTCTGAGTATGTAGTATCTGAGATTGTAATGTCTCTGATTAGTTCATCATTGTTTGTGAATAGCAAGTCTAGTGTGTTTTCGTTCCTAGTTGGATCTGTGATCTGTTGATTGAGCGAGAATTTGTCACAGAATCTCAAAAGTTCTCTGACCTGTGGTTGGTTATTTCCCGGGTCATTCCCTGCTATGATATTTGTGTTTACCATTCTCCATCTTAGACTTGGTAAATTGAAATCTCCAAGGAAGATAATATCTGGTGCTGGGTTCGCTAGATTATCAAGGATGTTCTCTATTTTGTGCATCTGCTCTGTGAATTCCTCAACCGTTGTATCTGGCGGTTTATATATTAGAATAATAATTAGGTTTATTTTTTCTACCTTAATTCCAAGTACCTCTACCACCTCATTAGTTGAGTTTAGTAGCTCTGTGCATACCAGGTCCTCTTTAATATACAGACCTACTCCTCCATTTGACCTATTTTCTCTATCACATCTATATAAATTATAATTTCGAATCTAGATTTCACTATCAATGTAATCTTTCGTATGAGTTTCCGTGAATGCCCCAAATATTGAGTTTGACTCTAAAAGGAGGCCATTTATGAACTTAACTTTATTTCTTGACTTTGATTTTAGACTTTGAATGTTGGCAAATATGAATGATTGTCCATATTGTGAGTCACTTCTGGAAGGTTTTGGTAGTTCTCCCTCCTCTCTACCCTGACCCAGGGTGTGTTGTTGTGGCAATGGTTTGTCCAGTTTTGGAAGTGCTGGTGAGTGTGGTAGTCTCTGTAGTGGGGGGGGGGAAGTATGTGTGGGCTTGATGACAAAACGTAGTCCAGTCTTGGGCATTTCCCCCTTCCCATCCGTACTCCTGCAACGTTTCTACCTGTCTGTTCCTCCTTCTGGTTCTGCTTGCCTCTAAAAAAATTCCCGGGCTATTATATTGGACTTCCTCTCTCATAAAGCGCTGTGTACCTCTCACGTGGAAATCAGGGCAATGGAGATCATAGCATTTCCTCTCATTCATTGAGAGTTTGCATAACTTAGGGTGGAAATATCTACAAACTGTTCCAAAAGACATCTGCCTTTCCCTAACCAGTTTCGGCATTTCTGTGGGTGCATGAATGTGCATTCCGTGCCTCTGGTCCCATATCTGCACTGTCCTTTTGCATAATACCTGCAAATATTTTCATCTGTGCTTGTATTTTTATTGTTTGTACCCGTGCACGACTTGGCTACCTCTGTATTTTTTGTTCCAACTTTCTCGTTTCCGCATTCATTCTCAGTATTACCCTTATCTTTCTCCTTGTTGCTTTCGTCTCTCATTTGTGTTCTCGTCCTTCTCATTGTTTCTCTCCTTACCCCTGTTACCAGTTTGCTTTTCAATATTGCCTTCATTTTCGTGTACCTCGACACAATGTCCTTCTACATTGCCAATGTGGCTCTCTAAGCTCTCAGTCCCTGGGTTGTGTTCAGTGTTCGCTGCTATTTTTTCATACTCTGCATACATTTCTGGTAGCTTTTTTGTAAATTGTAACCTATGTACTTCAGGAATGCCATTCATTAGTTTGGTGATGTTTTCCCACATCAGTCTATCCTTGTGACAGATCCAGTAGGTACCTTGTCTGTTTGCATATTGTGTACGTAATTCTGTACAACTCTGGTGAAATCTTATGTTATAAATGTTACATACAATCCCTTCAACACTCTTCCGAAGTGGCTTAAAGCATCCTCTACATGTCTCCATGTTGGGTTTGTGGCGTAGAGGTTGTCTGATGGGATGCATCCCATCTCGCATCTCAGAGGATGCATCCATCAGACCAATGAGCCCTAATGGGGTTTTCCAGGGCCCTTAGGCTGACTGCTAAGAGAAGTCCAGGTAAGGTATTGCCAACCAGTTATCCCGGAATTACCAAACAAACAAACAAAAACTGAACCCCTGCGACGTGTACAATCAAGGGGGCCTAGCAGAGGGCCCCAAAATAACACAAGTGGTCCTGCAGCCACACCAGGCAAACAAAAGAAAAGAAAAAAAAGAAAAACCCCGCCTCCAGGAGGGATAGAACCAGCCGCTATGCCTATTATAAAACGGCTACATAGTACCTTGCGCCCCTGCCAGCGACGATACTACCTCCTACCCAAGGTCAAACAGTGGCAAGAAAAACCCCAGCTGACCACAAGGGCGGGCAATCACCGAACAACAAAAGAACCCAACGGAGGTAGTTCCGGAACAGTTTGTGGAAGATAACCCCAAACCGCAAGGGCAGTACTTACAGGGCACCTAGGGAAGGTGACTAGGTGCAAGCAGCCCCAGTACTTCTTGAATTACACCTAGCTCACACACCACTACACCGCAACATAACACCACAAGGTACAGCACTGCTCAGAGATTGGAGCCAGAGTCGAACGACTGCTACTCAACATATCAGCCTCAGAACTGGGCTTGGATAGCTGGTGCAGGGGATCTGGGGCTTCCCCTTGCCCCTACCGGGGAGGAGGGAGCTGCGCAAACAGCGGTGCAACGGTGATGGTGACATCATGCTTGTTTGCTTGTTTTCTGTTTGGGTTCTGCCTGCTAGTTCGGCTTTCGGTCGCAGTTTTTAACCAGGTGTAGTTTGTTTTGGGACGTCTACCTTTCTGGGTGCCTAACCTGGTAGATGGCAAACATAGAATGCGTCCAACCACATAGGGGTTTGCTTCTATAGGCCATTGCTCCTCGTGCCTCTCTGAGGGGGGGGCCAGGTTTTGGCTCGTGGTCCTCGGTAGGCTAGAACTCCATCGAATTGACTGATGGCACAGTCTAATATATACATATCAGCACGGTATGCTCCTGGGAGCCGGAGGGGCTCTCCACAGAAAACTAATTTAATTTTACTGTGATGGATAAAAGTTTACTTACGGAGTTGAATTTTTTTTCAGTGTCCAAGGTGTCTTCACACATGTGGAGTGCTACTTGGACATCTGCAATTGTGCGAGGAAGATTATCATCAGAGGAGTTTACAATCTTCTCAATCTGCAACACAAAGAGAAATATATCAATTGTTTTTCACTTCTATTATTTTTCTTAAAAATAACTGTGGTGCAATGAGAGCTCTAAATCAGAAAGAAGAAAATACCAAGCAATGAAATCTGTTGGGAGTTATCAGTAATTACAGTACTGCAATGAAGTTCACACTCCACACAAGCAGCTCCATGGATTCCGTATCTTGTCAAGCACAAGACTAAATTGGAGAAGCTTCAGAGGTATGGCACCAGACTAGTACCTGAGCTGAGGAGTATGAGCTAAGAGGAGAGGCTACGGGATCTAAACCTCACGTTGCAGGAAGACAGAAGTTAGAGAGGACATGATCACCACATAGAAGATTCTCAGAGGAATTGACAGGGTAGATAAAGGCAGTTTATTTAACACAGGTGGCACATGCACTATGGGGGGACACAGGTAGAATTTGAGTATCCAAATAAGACAGAGACATGAGAAAGAACTTTTTAGTGTAAGGGTAGTTAACAAATGGAATGCATTAGGAAGGGATGTAGTGGAGGCAGACTCCATACACAGTACCTCGGAATACGAGTGTCCCTGTATGCGAGTTTTTCGGAATACGAGCAGGATTTCCTCGGAAAATGTGTCTCGGAAGGCGAGGGTTACCTCGGAACGCGAGTTTGTTGATACACATTCAGGGCGACCTAGCGCGTGGTGGTTCGGCGATCGTCGCCCCTCCGCCCTCAATTTACCATTGTCTCGTGCCCAGTGACTATCCCACATCAATTCTTCACCCGGATTTTCAGTGTTTTGTTGGATTTTAGGTCATTTGACTATACAATTTGTTATTATATATCTCACCATGGGTCCCAAGAAAGCCAGTGGTAAGGATCAAGGCAAGAAAGCCCATGTGAGGATGACAATAGAGGAGAAACAAGAGATCATTCGGAAGCATGAGAACGGTACACGTGTTGTTGAACTTTGTAGGCAGTACAACAAAGCCACATCAACAATATGCACTATACTTAAGAAGAAAAATGAGATTATGAGTGCTAAAGTGGTAAAAGGAGTAAGAACAATGACGAAACAAAGACCACAAATACTTGAAGAAGTGGAAAAGTTGTTATTAATTTGGATACACGACAAGGAATTAAGGGGTGATAGTGTTTCGGAGGCCATCATTTGTGAGAAAGCCAGGGTATTGCACGAAGACCTTCTAAAGAAAACCCCTGCAACGAGTGATGCAGATACGAAAGAGTTTAAGGCAAGCAGGGGCTGGTTTGAAAAATTTAGAAGAAGTGGTATCCATAGTGTTACAAGGCATGGGGAGGCAGCCAGCTCAGACAAACCAGCCGCTGGACGATTTATTGAGGAATTTAAAGAGTTTGCAGAGGCTGAGGGATACCTACCGCAACAAGTGTTTAATTGTGACGAAACAGGACTGTTTTGGAAAAGAATGCCTAAGAGGACATACATTACCAAGGAGGAAAAATCCTTGCCCGGACACAAGCCTATGAAAGATAGGTTTACGCTTGTGCTGTGTTCAAATGCGAGTGGCGATTTGAAAATTAAACCCTTGCTAGTGTATCATTCTGAAAATCCAAGGGTTTTCAAACAGTATAAAGTGCAGAAAACCCATTTGTGTGTGATGTGGAAGGCTAATAAAAAAGCATGGGTGACTAGGCTTATTTTTTCGGAGTGGGTGAATGAAGTGGTGTGCCCTGCCATAGAAAAATATCTGCAGGAGAAACATTTGCCACTCAAAGCCGTGCTTCTCCTCGACAATGCTCCTGCTCATCCTCCAGGCTTGGAAGATGATTTGTTGCCCAGATACAATAAATTCCTCACAGTTAAATTCCTTCCTCCTAACACCACTCCTCTAATTCAGCCTATGGACCAGAAAATCATAGCGAATTTTAAGAAACTTTATGAAAGGGCACTTTTCCGGAAATGTTTTGAAGTGACTGAAGCCACAAACCTCACCCTCAAAGAGTTCTGGAAACACCATTTTAACATTTGTAGTGCTTTAAAACTCGTTGACAAAGCCTGGCAAGAAGTGACTCAAAGAACCCTGATCTCTGGCTGGAGAAAATTGTGGCCTGAATGTGTGAGAGAACTAGACTTTGAGGGGTTTGAGCCTGTAAATGATGCGCCTATTGTTGACGAAATTGTTACTCTGGGCCGGCAAATGGGCTTGGAATTGGATGATGATGATGTGGAGGAGTTGGTGGAAGAACACAACGAAGAACTGACCACCGAAGAACTCCAAGCCCTTCAACAGGAACAGCAAGACAACGCAGCTGATGATTCTACAGTGGAGGAGGATGAGGCAGTAGCGAATGTCCCTTCTGCAGAAATTAGGAAGGTGTGTCAGATGTGGGAAGAGATTCAAACAATTGTTGAAAAGACTCACCCAGAGAAAGCTGTAGTAGGCCGTTGCCTTAATCTTTTCAATGACAATGTGATGCCTTACTACAGAGACAGCTTGCGAAGAAGGGAAAAGCAAGCTTCCATGGACAGATTTGTGGTGAGAAAATCGAGCAGTGAGCCACAACCAGGACCTAGTGGCACTCAGATAAAACGTGCCAGGGAGTGCACACCAGAAAGGTCCTCACTGCCTGATGTGATAATGGAAGGGGACTCCCCTTCCAAACAGTAACTCCTCTCCTCCTCCCCCCTCCTCACCATCTTCCATACGCCTACAGCATTCAACAGCAAGGTAAGTAATAACTTGAACATAGTTTTGTAGGTTTATTTAGATGAATTAGGTATAAAAATTTAGTTTGATGTGGGGTTTTTGGGGTAGTCAGGAACGGATTAATTCATTTCCCATTATTTCTTATGGGGAAATTAGCTTCGGAATACGAGTTTTCGGAATACGAGCCGTCTCCAGGAACGGATTAAACTCTTAAACCGAGGTACCCCTGTATGTCACCGACCCAACAGGCAGCATGATGGAGGTAAACACTATGAGCGTCGCCCTCAGACAAGGGGACAGAGCAACACTTAAACTCACACAAGATGAGAGGGGGACCCCAGGGGTCGCATCTATTGGACCCCGTGTGCCCCCGCGGGGTTTCCCAGGGCCCCTAGACTGGTATCGCTAAGTGTAAGCCCAGGCAGGGTACTGCTAACCGGCGCTCGATGCTACCAAACAAACTGCTAATGCTGAACCCCCGGGACGAGTCCACTCACGAGGGTGAAGCAGAGGGTACCACCGAAAACAGAAGGTCAAACCCAAATATAACTGAGGGAAGAGACACCAAGGCAGACCCCCACCAGGCAAAAAAAAAAAAAAAAGACCTCACAAGAGGACAACGTACCCAGGAGGAACAGAGCCGGCTGCTGTTATAGGTGAAAATTAGCTGCGCAACACCTCGCGCCCCCTACCAGTGCAAAAATTACCACTTGCCCCAAAGTAAACAAGGGTAGAACCCCCCAAAACACTCGGGGCGGTCAATCGCCGAGCAGCAAAAGACCAACAGAGATAGACCCCAAGGTGACTTGTGAGAAGATAACCCCAAGCCCCAAGGGCAGTACTTACAGGGCACTCAGGAAAGGTAACCCTAAACACATGCAGCCCGAGTACCTGTGAATATTACTCCCAGCTTGCACGCAACCGTAAGAGCAGTACTGGACCCAAGGTACAGCACAATACAAAGAGTCTGGAGCTGGAGCCACACGGCCATGCCACAATCACATCAGCCGAAAAACTGTTGGGTGGATCGCTGGCATGGGGGTCTGGGGCTTCCCCTTCCTGGGAGCAGGAAGGGGGAGCTGGGCAGACATGCGGCGAGGCTCGTGTGACGTCACGCTTGTTTGCTCGATTTCAGTTGGGGAGTTCTGTCCACTAGTTGGTCTATTTAAGTCATTTTCACCAGAATAGGGGGTTTGTTTTCCAGCGCTCACCTTTCTGGGTGCCCGTCCCGGTCGATGGCAGATATAGAATGCTCCAAATCCCATGTGCATTTCCACTGCTCCTTGTGCCTCTCTGAGGGAAGGGGGGGCAGGTTTTGGCCGTGGTTCCCGGTAGGCCTAGAACTCCAATCATCCTGATTGATGCCAAAGTTTAGGAATATACATATCAGCCTGGATAGCTCCAGGGAGCTGAAGTGGCTCCTCCCAGAAATCATAAATAAATTGAGGGGGGAATTTGAATAATCGAGAATTCGTTTGTTCACACAAATATATAAAATGCATTTTCCTAACTAATAAATTTCCTAAACCTTGAAGCAAATGGTGAAGTTTCTAAAATTGTACTAAACCTCAATCACAGTATTTAACCTTAATTCTTTACAACTTCATGGCCGATGTTATGGCCGGTCTCCCTTAAGAGTTGATTACTGCTCTCAAGTCACCCTCAGAATCACACTAACTCACACGCTCATCTCCAAGTGAAGCTGACCTTAGCTGATTGCAAAACTAGTTATCATAGTTAATTAACAAAGCTAAACCATATGTACTTGGTCAATTAAAGGGATTGAATCTTTACAGTTAAATGATGTTAATTTTTTTTTTTTTTTTTTTTGAGATATATACAAGAGTTGTTACATTCTTGTACAGCCACTAGTACGCGTAGCGTTTCGGGCAAGTCCTTAATCCTACGGTCCCTGGAATACGATCCCCTGCCGCGAAGAATCGTTTTTTCATCCAAGTACACATTTTACTGTTGCGTTAAACAGAGGCTACAGTTAAGGAATTGCGCCCAGTAAATCCTCCCCGGCCAGGATACGAACCCATGACATAGCGCTCGCAGAACGCCAGGCGAGTGTCTTACCACTACACCACGGAGACTTAAAATATATGTGTAAAATGTGTATATATGTGTAAAATATATACTTAAAATATAAATTATAAAGGTACTTGAACAAAGGAAGTTATTAAATACGATTACTGATAGTTGCATGAATTTCTCAATTTAAGGACTTAAGAACAAAATGGGAATGTGGCAATCTGCCACCGTTTGGTCGCTCCATCTTGACCTGAGCTAAGATGATTCGTTGCACTGTTTCTGCAACTCAACAAGTACCCATACTATACTATGAATTAATTAGCAAATGATGGAGACCCACATATATTTATAGAACACTTACTACTCGTTTTACCTACAATATGGAGTTCTCAGAAACTATTCTCTACAAGACAAGATCATAAGACAGAGCTCTGTCAAAATACACATGAAACACTGTAATAATCTCTCTCCTTAGCACGGAGGCATTATATCAACCCAGGTTAAAAGTTCACTCTCACTCCACACACTGACGCACGCACACGTGCCTATCATACAGTACATTCCATTCAATAAGAATATGTCCCTCTAAATCCAACAAGGTTGTTACACGATGTTGGGACGTAACTTTCAAGTCAGGTTAAAAGGCCATCCCTTCTTCCTCCTTGGAGGTGGAATGTGACCAGTCTGAGAATGGACCCAGAGGACTCTTGGTTTCCATTTCTTTTTACACAATGAGTACAGCAGTAGATGACATCTAACTCCTGCTAGCAGGCTTAAAGCTTTCTCTAACCATAGGTCATATTAAATGTTACCCTACTAGATTTCCCTAGAACACAACCCACCATTTGGTTTACAACTAGGTATTCAATTGCTGTTCAAGTTCAAGTATGTTTATTGAGACAAGAAAATACATCTCAAAGGGATAGAGTAGTTTAGGCTATTTCTACCCCTTTTTGATTACTGTTGGCAGAACAGGGGTGAACACTTAAGGATTGGTGCCCAGTCACTCCTCTATGTCTAGTGCTCGATCCAACAAAATTGCTCACGAAGTGCAAGCAAATGTGTTACCACATGCTTAGGCTAGATGTGAGCTGTCTAAAGATAGGTGAAGTTCTTAATCCTGTCTCAACTTGAGTCTAATGATTTCTGAGGTGTGCTTCATCATCTTTCAGGAGGGAGCAGATACACCTTAACAATGGAATATTCCAGTACACTACACCCATCTGTACCCATTTGGCAACCTTGTAAGTGTCATATTCTTTCAAGCCTGCATCTGGAAGCAACAGGTATTGAAAATTAAAATCCACAGATCTACATATTAAGGAGGTGGCCATGTGAAAGGAATATCACAATAGAATATCCTAGAACAAGACAGCACCCAGAAGGGAATAATCTTTAGGGACGTGAGCTCCTTTTCTTTGATATGCAAGACCTTCGGCCAGTCTAAAGTAGACCTATTTGCCTCTGTGTGCAACAACATGCTGCCTGTTCATGTGGCTTCCCAACAGCGAGTCACTTTCATTGGATGTACTGTATATTGATTGATACCAATGGAAGATGACTTAGCTCCTATATTTGATCAATATGCTACTGCCTGTGATAGCGAAGCTTAAGCAATTTGTGGGCCTCGTCCTTCTTCTAGCTTCTATGTGACCTGTTTAGACCTGGTTCCCAATCCTCCTCTCTTGTTACCTTTATTCTGCTTGATGGGGTTGTTTACCTTTCTGGGTGCCTAACCCCGGTCGATGGCAGATAAGGAAAACCTCCAACCACAAGGGGGTTTTCCAGGGCCATTGCTCCCTGAAACCTCTCTGAAGGGGCCAGGTTCTGGCGCTGGTCCCTGGTAGGTCTGAACTCCATAGCTAATGTCCCAGTCTAACATAACATACATTAGCCCGATAAGCTCCAGGGAGCCATAGGGGCTCCCCATAGAAAGGCCCTTAGCGGCCTAAGGGTTAACATTAAAAAAAAAAATTAATTTAATTAACCAATGTGCTGCTAGGGTTCTAAATTGTACTTACTTTTGGCCGCAATGGGATAGACTCCTGGAGGCAGTCGCGCGCCAGCTTCAACATGCGCGAGTTGCCACAAATATTTTTTTGTTAATTTTTTGCGTACATTTCCAAATACATTTGTTTGTTTTTTTCTTGCCAATCCTATGTATAATGAACACGTACACAATATTATGGCAGTAGAACATCTGTACTGTCCCAAGACACTGTGTTATGTGTGTGTCAAATGTGTCCACATATATTGCTTATATATCCAATGTTTCATATTCATTTATGTATATTTATAACATATTTACACACTATACACTATCACACACTATATACATTCACCATCAACACACTCAGAACTCCGCGAGTGTGAGCTGCCACACCCAGCCAGCCCTCCCTCACTCCTCCAACACCTTACTCCTTACACCTTACTCACCAACATTCCTCCTCCCACCATACTGTTATTGTTTTCATTACACTATTTACACATGTTATGTATAAGTATCTACATGTTTTATTCACCATAACTATGCAAGTAAGCTGGTATTATGTCCAAACATCAGTGTTCACCATACACTGCACGAGAAATCACACAGCAGATGACGACGCCACCTCCCTCACCAAAATGACTCCTCCCAAAATACTCCTGTTGCTGTTATTACACTATATACACACATTGTATATACCCATCTACATATGTGTTCACCATAATGAACCACTAAGCTAGTATGGTGAGCAAAACAAGAGTGGCTGTCACACACAGTGACGCTACCTCGATAACCTCCCTCCCTCACCAAAATTCCTCCTCCCACAATACTACACACAGTGCTAATTATCACCACAAGTTTATTTTGTAAAGGAACATAAGAAGTCGTTTGAAGATTCCTAGATGGATGAAATAATGCTGTGGTGCTGTGGCTAGCGCTGTGAACATCGTGAACAGCATTGATTCATTGATGTTTGAACATTGTACACAGACATTATCACACTCAGGCTCTTCTGTAATATTATCATGGCTAAATAATACCAGTTACATATATATTTTGACATTATTAGGCAATGCTGTGGTCACAAGCTGAACAGCAGTGCTGTGAGCTCATGCTGAGTGCGCCAACCTTGATGGCTCACTCAGTACCGAGGCTCTCACACCCAGGAATGTTACCCACGATTTAATAAAAAAAATGGTGTCTGTTTTCAAGAGCCCTGAGGAAGCTGATGTGAACCCCATGTACCCGCATGAGTTTTCGATCATACGCTATACCTACAAGATCTCGGAGGCACATTGCACACCCCTCGTCGAGCGCCTGCAGGCACGTTGTGCAGTTCAGTGGTTAAGTACAGATATGAATGAGAATATGAGAAACAGATACTAAGATGAAGAGAAAACAAACACAAAAAAATATACGTGGAGAGCAAAAGGAGAGATACGAGTTATATAATTGGTATACTGTATGTAGTTGTATGTCATCAATATCTTGTACAATAATCCAACAAAGTACAAGCACAATTTTCAACATACCTAGCCCTCTCTTTAATGCCAACATACCTGGCCCTCTTTAATGCCAACATACCTGGCCCTCTTTAATGCCAACATACCAAGCCCTATTTAATGCCAACATACCTGGCCCTCTTTAATGCCAACATACCAAGCCCTATTTAATGCCAACATACCTGGCCCAATTTAATGTCAATATACCTGACCCTCTTTAATATCAACATACCTGGCCCTCTTTAATTTCAGTTATGAGTTCCAATGAGCGAAAAAGTTCTTCAACTTCTCTATCTCCACGTTTTTCCTGCAAAAAAAATCCAATAGCATTAATTGAAGAAAAATAAATGGCTATCTCATAGGCAACTATCTCAATTATCCTCAAGTTCTTAAGATATCACGAACAACATCAGTTCACTTAAAACTAAAGCAAACAACCACTCTGAATTTCCAATGCTAATTTTGTAAAAGAGCCTCAAGTGTTTTAGCACTGGTCATAGAATTACTCTATAATAAATCTCTAGAACGCTGAGCTTTCTCTGATATACTTAGAAAAGCCAGAGTAATCCCCACTTCCATAAAAGTAGAGATCACACTGATGTTAATAATTAAAAACCACTATCAAACCTTCCCATATCTAAATTATTTGAGAAACTAATGTACAAACAGTTTTACTACTACCAAGCTAAACATGACTGACTTTGATCTTATTAATATGACTTCAGACCCCTAAAGAACCACTAACAATTCTATAATAAATGTTTAACTAGATACACTCTGCTCTTGATAAAAATAAGTACTCAATGGGATGATCTGTTGCCCTTCAAAGGCCTTTCATACTGTTAACAATAATAGCCTACTTCAATTGCACCACTATAGTCAGTAGCAGTATCTTCAATACTGTATTCCAATTTTACCTTAATGCTATGCACCAGTATGTCCATGGGAATGATGTTACTTTTCCCACAATTCCAATTAATACAGGATAGCATACTTGGTTCATTCCTCTTTCTCAAATGAATCAATGACCTATCAAATGCCATATGCTCTCATCCTATAATTACACTTTGGTAAGTGCAAGTGTGAGTAGACTTGCGTCTTTATCTGAACTACCTACCTAGGTTATTCAGGACTAGATGAACTCCCTTAGGTAATGTTAAAATCTTGGAAAGTTTGACTTGTTTCTTTCTAGGTGCAAAGTTGCATGTCCTAATTCCCTACCTCAATTCCATGGACCACACTGAGTGTTCAACATCAGAAGTTTGTACCTAGAGAATTCTATACTCAAGACTGTGCACAAGTTAGATACAAAACAAACAAGGACACCGTCAAGAGAAAACTAAATAGTTTTCTTCAAGATGAGCCGGACCAACCCGGCTGTGGTGAATATATGGACCTGCGAGCCGCTCCAAGCATCAGCCTGTTGGACCAAGCTCTCACAAGTTAAGCCTGGCCCCGGGCCGGGCTTAGGGAGTAGAACAACTCCCAGAACCTCAGTGTTCAATATCAGAAGTATGTACATAGAGAAATCTGTACTCAAGATTGTGCACATGTTAGATACAAAACAAACATGGACACCGTCAAGAGAAAACTAGATAGGTTTCTTCAAGAAGTGCCGGACCAACTGGGCTGTGGTGGATATGTGGGCCTGCGGGCCACTCCAAGCAACAGCCTGTTGGACCAAGCTCTCACAAGTCAAGCCTGGCCCTGGGCCGGGCTTGGGGAGAAGAGCTCTCAGAACACCATCCAGGTACAAGTACAATCCCAATGGGTGCTGCTTAATTTAAACAAAGGATAACATACACACATCACACTTCCAAAAGCTGTGCTTTGTAAGAAATGGAAAGACTGTGCTGCTTCTAATGTCGACTCCTTATAGCCCATTGAAGATAAACATTTAAAATATGAATTTCAACCAAATTGCTTACAATATACTTAAACAAATAAATAATTTAAAATCTTACACATAGTAAGCACCCTAATTTTTGGGAACAATGTAATAGGATTTTTTTATTTAACATCCTCACAATATTAATATGAATCATAAGCTATATTGTACAACTTTTCAGCCTTGTTATTTATTATGGTGGTCTACACTGAGGAGCACACCAGTCAGAGACATACAATTAAAAGAAATTACACACAGTATATTGGTACATCTATATCTTTCTATTTCATGCTTAACACTTTGCCTGGGCGGGGATGCATATTGCGTCTCTAAATAAATCTACGGATCTTGAACAGGGATGCATGTTGAGTCCCAAAATAAAATATTTGTTAAAAATCTATTTCTTTTCCAATCATTATGGGACTAGTTTTAAAACGCGCGCCCTTCAATTGCAATTTTTTTTATAACAAAATGAACGACATAGCATGAAAATTGAGATGAGAAAACTGGAAAGAGTACAAATATTTGAGTGAGGGTGGTGGGTGCGCGCTCATGGGTAAAACTCGGCCTAACTTGGGGTGTACTGTACTTGCCTAGTTGTGCTTGCGGGGGTTGAGCTTGCGGGGCTTGCGGGGGCTCTTTGGTCCTGCCTCTCAACTGTCAATTAACTGGTGTACAGATTCCTGAGCCTACTGGGCTCCATCATATCTAGATTTGATACTGTGTATGAAGTCTGCCTCCACCACATCATTACTTAATGCATTCCATTTGTTAGCTACTCTGACACTTACAAAATTCTTTCTACTGTCTCTGTGGCTCATCTGGGTACTAAGTTGCCACCTGTGTCCCCTTGTTCGTGTTCCACCCGTGCTAAAGAGTTTGCTTTGTCCTCCCTGTCAATTCCCCTGAGAATTTTGTAGGTGGTTATCATGTCTCCCCTTACTTTTCTGTTTTCCAGGGATGTGAGGTTCAGCTCCCTTAGCTTTTCCTCATAGCTCATACCTCTCAATTCCGGGGGCATACCTCTGAATCTTCTAACTTCATAAGTGGTATACAAGTTCCTGAACAATTCCTTACATAAGTTTCTAAAGAGTTCATATGTTGGCCAGTCTAGCATATGCCGCTGATGATATCCTTTTGATGTGGGCCTCTGGGGACAGGTTCAGTATAATATCAACCCCCCAGATCTTTCTCTCTATTTGACTTACAGGATATCACCTCCCAGATGGTACATTTTCAGCCTACTGTTTCCTTTGCCTAATTTCGTTACTTTACACTTTCCCGAGTTGAACTTTAAAAGCCATTTTCTAGACCATTCCACCAGTATGTCTAGGTTATCCTGTAGTCTCTGTCTATCTTCATCTGTCTTGATTATTCTCAGAATTTTTGCATCATCAGCAAACATTGAGAGGAATGAGTCTATACCCTCTGGAAGGTCGTTTACATATATTAGAAACAGAATGGGTTCAAGTACAGAGCCCTGTGAAACCCCGCTGGTGACATCTCGCCACTCTGATGTCTTCCCCCTCACAGTTACTTGCTGTTTCCTGTTGCTTAGATGCTCCCTTATCCACTAGAGCACCTTACATTTTACTCCTGCTTGTTGCTCCAACTTTTGTAACAGCCTTTTGTGAGGTACTGTGTCAAAGACTTTCTGACAGTCCAAGAGAATGCAGTCTGCCCACCCATCTCTTTCTTGCCTAATTTGTGTTGCTTGGTCATAGAATTCTATTAAACCTGTGAGACACGATTTACCATCTCTGAACCTATGCTGGTGGTGTATTACAAAGCTATTTTCCTCCAGATGCTCTACGAGCCTTTTCCACACGATCTTCTCCATCATCTTGCATGGTGTACAAGTTAGGGAAATTGGCCTGTAGTTCAGTGCCTCTTGCCTGTCACCCTTTTTGTATATTGGGATTACATTAGCTGTCTTCCAGCTTTCCGGTAGGTCTCCTGTTCCCAGTGATCTGTTATACACCATAGAGAGTGGCACACTTCGCGTCTCTGCACCTTCTTTTAGGATCCACGGTGAGAGTCTGTCAGGCCCAACAGCCTTTGCCACATTCAGCTCCAACAGATTCTTTTTGACCTCATCACTGGTGAGGTCAAATTCCTCCAAGGTTGCTTGGTTTGCCTTCTCATTTAGTGCAGGGACTACTCCTTGTTCTATTGTGAAGACTTTCTGGAATCTCTTGTTGAGTTCTTCACACACTTTGTCATTCTCTGTTTATCTGTTCTCCCCTTTTCTCAGTTTCATCACTTGTTCCTTCACTGCTGTTTTCTTCCTGATGTGGCTTTTGGTTGGGTTTTACTTGCGATGTCATTTTCATACTGTGTGTCTGCTTCTTTCCTCACTCTGACGTACTCATTTCTGGCCCTCTGGTATCTCTCCCTACTCTCTGGTGTTCTGTTACTCCTGTAGATTCTCCATGTTCTTTTACTCAATTGCTTCACTACTGTACATTCCTGATTGAACCATGGATTCTTCTGTTGCTTTCCATTTTTATTGTTTTGGGCTGGGATAAACCTGTCTGCAGCTTCCTGGCACTTCTGTGTGACATAATCCATCATATCCTGTACAGTCTTTTCTCTGAGTTCTGTTTCCTATGGTATTCCCATTAGGAAGTTCCTCATCTCGTCATATTTTCCTCTTCGGTAATTAAGTCTGCCTCCTTCCTATCCCATCCTTGGATAGGCTATCCCTACCTGTACCAGATTCTCAAATGTCAATACACTGTGGTCACTCAATCCTATGGGGGCTTCAAATTTGACTTCCCTTTTTTCTGACTCATTCAAGGTAAATATCAGGTCGAGTTTAGCTGGTTTGTCATTCCCTCTCATTCTTGTGGGTCCCTTGACATGTTGGCTCAGAAAATTCCTTGTTGTCACTTCCAAGAGTTTAGCTCTCCATGTATCTTTACCTCCATGTGTGTCCCCATTCTCCCAATCTATCTTTCCACGGTTGAAGTCGCCCATAATTAAGAGTCTGGATCTATTCCTGCAAGCCACTGAAGCTGCTCTCTCTATTATATTATTGGTTGCCATGTTGTTTCTGTCGCACTCCTGTCTGGGTCTTCTGTCTGTCATTTAGTGGAGGGTTGTAAATGACTGCCACTATTATCTTAGGTCCACCCATACTCATAGTTTCTGTTATGTAGTCTCTGAACCCGTCGCAGCTCGGAATTTCAAGCATACCACTGTGGGTGGCGCATTTGGCAATTTGACCTTATATGCATATATCCCTTTAGAGCATTCTATTGTGAACAATTTGTTACAATAACGTAGCACGAAAATTGAGGTGAGACAACTGAAAAGAGTATACATATTTTAGTGCGGGTGCGCGCTCACGGGTAACGCTCAGCCAATTTTTGGGTTTGCTGTACGTGGCACACTGGTTTTTTTTACCGTATATGCATATATTCCTTTAGAGAATTCTATCGCCAACAATTTGATACCAGAATGAATAACGTAGCACAAAAATTGAGGTGAGAAAACTGAAAGAGTATACATATTTTACTGCAGGTGCGTGCTCCCTGGAAACACCCGGCCAACCTTGGGGTGAGCTGGGGCTTGCACGCCCGGTCAGGCAAAGTGTTAAAATACTCCCCAAAACAAATGAGTTGGTTTGACTTCATTGGCTGGCATTGACTGTACAGTATACTGTACTTGATGATGATGTACATGAAAGGTGCAGCTTTATGTACACCATTATCAAGCATATAGTCAATGCCAGCCAATAAAGTCAATGGGTAATGATGCATCATCATATTTGATTTATGTGCTACCAAAAAATCTTGATACAGTTTCTTTTTTATTATGACATTATTATTATTGTATACAAATTATGAGCCACATCAGGAGATGACACTGTAGGTACCAGCCACTCTTAATAAGGATGAAAACTGATATAAAATAATTTGAGCAATCTCACCTCAAATTCCTTCTTAAAAAACTCAATTTCTCCTCTCAAAAATGGCCGATGATCAAAAAGTCTTGAAAAAACCTCGTTCACATCTGAAAATTCAAGATTAAATTCAGCAGAGATTACTTTGCTTCAGAGCAAATTTATTTCATTTTAGTTTAAAGCTAATGTAAAATATATTTAAGAAATCTATACACCATTCCTGAACTATGAGGAAGCTATGGTTGTCCACTCAACCAGAAAGGATGGAAAAGTCTACAAAGAAAAAGAGGGCATAATATATTAAAATGTTATACAATAAATAAATGTAATAAACATGAAAAACCCAGTGTTGAATGTAATGAAATGACTCTTTTCTGACTGGATCAAAGGTGTTCCCTGTTGCTAGCTGCTCTGGATAGCTCCACACCTATCAAACTGCACCAGACCCTTGGGAGTCATTTATAAGCTTATCAGAGACCAGAGGCCAAAACCTAGTTCCCTTACAAAGTCGCAATGGAGCAGGGATGCTAGATCATCCTGAGGAAAAGCCACCAGAAAGGTAGAGCAATACAAAACAGACAACAGCCTGGCAAACTAAAAACATCAAGTTAGGTAGTTTCACCTCTCAATCACCAGATGGCCACACTAAGAGCTGGTGGCTCAGGAGGTCAACCTCCACCAGTCTTGAATGGAACCAAAGTGAACTGAAGCTCCTGAAGCAAAGGGAGGGGTCCAAGAGACCTTGGACTCACCAGAAAGAGGCATTTCATTATATTCAATACAGGTTTCATCATGAAAAAAAAAAAAGAGTCGAATGACCCCACCCAAAAGAAAAAAATCCAACATTAAATGTAATGAAATGGCACTTTCTGGGTAAGCCCCAGTGGTTTCCCTGAAGCTATTAGCTATTACCGGGCTGTGGTGGGTATGTGGGCCTGCGGGCCGCTCCAAGCAACAGCCTGGTGGACCAAACTCTCACAAGTCAAGCCTGGCCTCGGGCCGGGCTTGGGGAGTAGAAGAACTCCCAGAACCCCATCAACCAGGTATCAACCAACCGCTGACAGTGTGCCACTATCAGAAATTGTGACTGATGGGACCTACTACTACTAGGTCCTATCAATCACAGATTTCTATGGCCTACTGGGACCAAGAGTCAGAACCTGTCCCCTCATAGAGTAGCAGGGAAATGTCGCATTCATTCACTCCATTCATTCATTCATTCATATACAAGAAGGTACACTGGGACTGTGAGGATACATAGCATAGTAATTACATTCTTGTAAAGCCACTAGTACGCTCAGCGTTTCGGGCAGGTCCTTAATCTAAGAAAATTTTAAGTAGGTAAATACTAGCAAAATTTATAAAAATGTTAAGTAACATAGCAAGAAAAAAATAAAAGATGAGAGAAATTTGTAGGTATATTAAAGCACATAGGTAGCTCAGATTGATTGCAAGACAGCTTGAATGGTAGTTTAACAAAAATTAGTAGGCACAATACAGCATATGGCTAGCACATAAAAGAAGACAGCAAAGAACACAATGAAACACACAAATGTCTATTAAATTAGACATTTATGCCACCACTGAGGAAGGCACCTAAAAAGTCAGCAAAACCAAACAAACTACTTCTGGCTTTAAATGATACTTCAGTCTCAAGAAAAGGCAATAGAACTCCCTCAACAAGGCAAAGGCAAACAAATGGATGAGTCACTTGTTCACCCAACCTCCTTACTGAGAAGCAAAAATTCAAACGCTACTAGTGGGAAGACTTCTAAAGTGGAGACAGCCTAAAAAATTAACAGCTAAACCCCCATGGAAGTAACCTTGACCAGGCAAGGGCAATGCCAGAAAACAACTATGAAAGGAACCTAGCCATGTGCAGCCAAGATGAACAGTCACCTCAAGATCCACACAAAAAGCAAGGCCAAGAAAAAGAGATTTGTGAAGTAACACCAAACAATTGGAACATGCACAAACACAGGCCCCTGAAGGATCGAGTTCAAAAGGATAGCTAAGAGTTAATTGAGTCCAGGACGAGGAGGGTTAAGTGGGAGCACAATGTACTGTTGTAGGGACATCACCATGTGCATGACTAATTGGTGTCACTGGCTGCATCTCAGACTGCCATGGCTGCCATCTGTAATGCCCTAAGTATAATTACCTAAGTGTAATTACAGGATGAGAGCTACGCTCGTGGTGTCCCATCTTCCCAGCACTCTGTCATATAATGCTTTGAAATTAGTGACTGTTTTGGCCGCTACCACCTTCTCACCTAACTTGTTCAAACTGTCTACCACTCTGTTTGTGAATGTAAATTTTCTTATATTTCTTCGGCATCTTTGTTTAGTTTAAATCTATGACCTCTTGTTCATGAAATTCCAGGTCTCGGGAAATCTTCACTATCAATTTTATCAATTCCCGTTACTATTTTGTACGTTTTGATCAGATCGCCTCTTTTTCATCTATCTTCTAGTTTTGGCATATTGAATGCCTCTAACCTCTCTCATAGCTCTTGTCCTTCAGTCCTGGGAGCCACTTAGTGGCATGTCTTTGCACCTTTTCCAGTTTGTTGATGTACTTCTTTAGATATGGGTACCATACAACCACTGCATATTCCAGCTTTGGTCTAACAAAAGTCTTGAACAATTTCTTTAGTATTTCATCACCATGTATTTAAAAGCAATTCTGAAGTTGGAAAGTGTAGCATGGGCTCCTCACACAACGTTCTTAACACTTTCGCTCGGGGATGACGCAGCATTGCGTCATCCGTTTACTGGCGGTAATGCCGGGGATGACGCAGCATTGCGTCATCCACTTTAAAAATTCGCCAAAAATCAGGTTTTTATCCGATTTTTTGGGGACTGGTTTTAAAATGCGCGCCGATGTCTTCCCATTTTCTTTGTTGCGCCTAGTAGCCCTCAGGCGGCGCGGCACACGCCGTCGGCCCATTGTTTTCGCTCCACTGTTGTGACCGGTATCGCCTCCCCTCGCTTCTCAAACGTGTGAACATTTCGGCTATTTTCCGTGGCTATATTTCTTACTGCGGCTTCAGAAACTATCTACGCTTACTCCACGATGGATAGTGATCATGAACAAGGCCCTTCCAGGAAGAAAATTGCAAAAGAAAGGCGTGAAAAGCAGAAGCTGAGTAGTGTACAGGAGAAGTACAAGCATGTGAGACTAACTCCCTCAAAGTTTCAGGTTGTATTTGACGATTTGTCTGGGTCATCTAGTGATGAAACTGATGTTGGTATTGATACTGATGCAAGTAGTGATGAAAGTGAGGACAGTGAGGAGTCTGAGGTCGAGATTGCCACTCATGCACGGCGTGGTACTGGAGCTCGTGCTAGAGCCAGACATACCACACGTACCACACGTACCCCAGCACCAACAGATTCTGATGATGGATGGTGTAGTGACAATACTGCACCCTTTGTGGACAATTTTACAGGTACACCAGGCTTGACTGTTCCTGTACCTACCACTGTTCTTGGATTCATTCAACTCTTTCTGACACAAAAATTACTGAAATATATTGCCTATGAAACAAATTTATATGCTTCCCAAAATAAGGCAGGTACTGGGCAAAGTACAAAGCATAGATGGCAACCAGTGACAGTGAAGGAAATTGCTAGATATATGGGACTGACGATCTTGATGGGTATTTGCCCGTTGCCAAGACTTAGAATGTATTGGCAAACAGGCAGATTCTGGCACATACCTTGTTTCAACACCTTCATGACAGGTAAGCGATTTGAAATGATTGCTAAATATTTCCATGTTTATAACAATAAGTCCATACCACCAGGCCAAGGAGTTGACAAACTTATCAAAGTTCGCTCACTCATGCAATATCTCCTGAATAGATTCAAGAGAATATACATTCCCAATAAAAATTTGAGTTTGGATGAAGGGACAATGCCATGGCGTGGCCGTCTATCTTTCAAGACCTATAATCCCAATAAACCAGATAAATACGGAATAAAGCTCTACATGCTAGCTGAAGCCACCAGTGGCTACATTTATGATTTTGAAATCTATTCAGGAGTTGGGAAAAAGACGATTGACACAGTTATGGCCTTGATTGAACCACTGAAGGATAAAGGTTACCATTTATATATGGACAACTATTACAATTCGGTCAGATTGAGTGAGGCACTACTTCAAGTAGGGGTATACACCTGTGGTACCCTCAGACTGCAGCGTGGTGCACCTAAATCCCTTCAGATGCAAGCAAAGGGTAAAGTGCCAATAGATAAAACTTTATTCAAACGCAAGGACAATACTTTCATAATTTTGTGGAAAGATAAACGAATTGTTTCACTCATAACAAATTGCCACAATGCAGAAACACAACAGGTTCAACGCAGAAAACGAGTACGGAATCGTGATGGAACAACCTCAGTGCAGCAGGTAACTGTCAACAAGCCGAATGCAATCTGTGACTACAATACAAACATGAAAGGTGTTGATCACTTTGACCAAATGATCAAATATTATCACTTCACAAGGAAAACACACAAATGGACGAAGAAAATGACCTTTTATTTTGTGCAAATGGCTATCTACAATGCTTTTGTGATGTACAACTACTACACAACAGATAGAAAGAAACTGACATTACTCCATTTCCATGAACAAGTCATCGCTGCACTATTGTTCTATAAGTCTAGTAACTGGCCTGAGGAAGATGATGACATCCCACATGCTGCTGATGTCAATGCCACTGGAGCCAATGTTGCAACACCAGGACCATCAACACCCAGACCTCCAACAGCAGGACCTTCAGGTGTGAGGCGCCCACTATTCACTTCACCTGTACCTGCAGACTTACCTTCATCATCTGAGTCAGGAGACGAGGCTGTGATTATCACTAGTGGTGCTTCTGCTGCAACAAGACCCCGTATTGTGGATAATCCAGACCGCCTCAAAAGAAACTTGTCCCATACCCAAGTAAAGATACAGAAGCGTCTGAGGTGTCGTGTGTGCAAATTGTCGGGTAAAAGGAAGGACACACACTATAAGTGCAAGACGTGTGATGTGGCATTGTGTCCTGCACCATGCTACAGCAAATACCATCGAAAGAGAAAATTCTGGGCCGATAAGCAGTAATGCTTGCCCACCATCCACTCCACCTATACAAAACATGGGTTGACCCTGCAGGAAACGTTTTCCAGGAGCAGGTGGAGTGGATAAAACAAATGTTCAACCCATGTCATGTTCAACACACAACACTGAGGTGGTAAGTGCAATTTTTTTTTTTTATTTATTTAATTATTTTTTTCGTTCATACTTTCCCATATTGTACAGGCAATGTTGTTCTTCAATTGGCCCTTATATGCACATATCCATCTGAAGAATTCTATTAGGAACATTTTCATACCTAAATGAGCGCTGTAACACGAAAATTGAGATTACCACCAGGAAATAATACTAAACATATGTGGGCGGGAATTGGGAGTGTAGCTGGAAGGCGTCTGAGCGCTCACTCACGGCTAACGCGTGGCCCGTCTTCAACTCGTCGGCGGTTGGAGCGTGACCAGGTTTTTTATTTTATATGCTAATATTCCTCTAGAGAATTCTATTACGAACCCATTGAGACCAAAATGAAAGACCTAGGACGAAAATTGAGGTGACCAGAGTGAAAATAGTGAAAACATTTTATCGTGTTTGCGCGCTCCCGGGTAACTCGTTCGCACTTTCTCTGCTTGCTGCGGGTAATTAGCCGGGCTTTTGGAGTTTATATGCATTTAGTGCTGTAGAGAATTCTATTGCGAACACAATGATACCAAATTTAATCTCGTAGAACGAAAATTGAGGTGACAAAGTTGAAGAGAGTATACACTTTTCGGAATTGACGCGCGCTTCCGTGACACGCTGGGGCCCATATCGCATAGTGCGCGAGGGGTGGTGCTCGGGGTGCGCGAAAGTGTCCTAACAGTCCATAACATAGCATTTATTTACATTAAATTTCATTTGCCAAGTGGTGCTCCATATACTTATTCTGTCCAAGTTTTCTTGAAGGGCATGACAATCGTGTAAGTTACTTATCTTCCCTATTATCTTATCATCATCAGCAAACATGTTCATATCATTTTGTATTTCATCTGGTAGACCGTTTATGTAGACAATGAACATTACCGAAGCAAGAACTGAACCCTGTAGTACTCCACTTGTGACTACCAGTCCAATACACTTCCTCTTATTACTGCCCTCATTTTTCTATCAGTCAGAAAATTTTTCATCCATGTTAGAAGCTTACTTGTCACGTCTCCAATGTGTTCCAGTTTCCAGAATAACCTCTTATGTGGAACTCTGTCAAAAGCCTTTTTTTTAGGTCCAGATAGATGCAGTCAACCCAACCATCTCTTTCCAGTAAAATCTCTGTCGCTAGATCATAGAAACTGAGTAAATTCATTACACAGGATCTTCCAGATCGAAAAACCATACTGACGGTCTGATATTATATCATTTGTCTCCAGGTGTTCTACCCATTTGGTTTTAATTATTTTTCCCAATACAGTATTTTGACAATTACACTTTTCAACGATACAGGTCTATAATTGACGGGGTCTTCCCTGCCTCCACTTTTGTAGATTGGAACTATGTTAGCCTTTTTCCACACATCTGCTACGACTCCTGTACACAGGGATGCCTGCAAAATCAGTTGAAGTAGAATGCTGAGTTCGGGTGCACATTCTCTCAGAACCCATAGCCATCTGGGCCAACTGCTTTTTTCTTTCTTAGCTCCATGAGTATTTATGCCACTGTGTCTAGTCACCTCTATGTGCTCTATGTTGTTCTCTGGAATTCTTATTGTGTCTGGGTTCCCTGAAGATTTCATTTTGTACAAATACACTTTAGAACTTTTTGTTTAATGTTTCACACATTTCATTTTCAGTGAATCTGTTTCCCATTTACAACCTCTGAATATTATCCTTTACCTGCAATTTGTTATGAATTTATAGAATGGGTCTGGTTCTGTTTTACATTTGTCCGCTATCCCTTTTTCAAAATGTCTTTTTGTCTCTCTCTTCATTGCTGTGTAGTTGTTTCTCACAAACATTGCTGGAATGTTTGTGGGGTTTGGCCCCTCCTTTATTGATTCCATATTTGAGTCTTTTGGTCTCTGGCCCTCTCACAATGTCTGTTGAACTAATCCTGTTTTCTGGTCCTGCATTTCTGTTTTGGTATGTTCGTTTGTGTGCCTTCATCATATATTTCGCAGAATTTGGCATGCATCTCATTTACTTCCTTGCCTAGCAACACGTCTGTCCAGTTACACTCATTAAAATTTGTAATAAGTTCCCCACAGTATCCTCTCTTGAAATTGAGTTTAACAACTGTTTCAATGTCCCCATTTTCTTCTAGATTATATCTCAAAGCTTATTTAATGTTCAACAGGACATGATCACCCTTTCCCAAGGGAGGAAGGTACAGGATGTCAAAGATCTCGTCTTCTTTCCTGGTGAATATTAGATCCAGTACTGATGGAACATCCCCTTCCCTCATTTTGTGAAGGGGAAGTGGTGGGGAGGTGTAGCTAGTGGGTGGTAATGAGCTAATTACTGTGGTCGTTTAACAGGGTTGCTAACATTTTCCTTGAATGTGTGTTTTGGAGTACCCTACCATTCTGGTGGTATTTTCTCTTGGCCTGGGTTGATCTAGTATTCCCAGAATTCCTGTGTATCTATAAAGTTGACCAGATTCTGTTTCTGGTCTGCAAAGGCCTGGTGGGACATGATATGTGTAGAGCTATCTTGGTTGCTGTGTAGAGCTATCTTGGTTGCTAGCTCCAGGGAGTCATCAAGGAATCTCTCCCAGAAAGTTAGCATACAGCATATGATGTGAACAACAGGTATACTGTATTTGCAATATTAAATATGTCAAGTGCAATGGACAAAAATTGAAAATCTATTTAGATTTAAAATTAGATTGCCTCATAGGTCTAGTACATATAGTACAAAAGGCAACCAGTGCTAATTATGTTAAGAATCCCATTTTTTTGTTATCTCGGCTTATAAAATACCGTATGCAATCTCACACAAGACCTACGTAAAACCCCATCTTGAATTCGCTGTACAGGCCTGGTCCCAGTACCTGAGGAAAGATATTAATACATGAGAGAATGTTTAATTAAACATTGGCTATCTTACTGGTATCAAAACTGAAAACTAACATCTAAGAGTGAATGAGAGATATCATAAATTTGACAGAATTTGAAAAGATTACAAACCTAACAAAGAAGTTTTAAAATCATAAATTCTTCAAACCACTTATGAGAAAAGTCTCTTGCTTCTGAGAAAATACCGGTAATTACTACTTCAATCATTTCTACTTAGGAGGCCTGGTCAGGGTAGTGGCCACATACCTGGATTGTACCTGGATGGGGTTAGTTATAAATGGGGCAAGTGTAAACATCAGTAATGTAATTTCTAGGCATTATTTTGCAATTTTTCACCTTCTCACACTGACTTATTTCAATTTGCAATACTAGCACAAAGACAAAGTAGCTATTGCACTTAATCTTGACCAGAAAGTGCTGAACATTTCAATAAATTTGATCTTCTGTAGCATAAACAAATACAGTAGAACCTCGAGTGACGATCGCCTCAATTGGCGAGCATTTTGGGTAACGAGCGCCCAGATTGCCGACAATTCGTCTCATATTGCGAGCGCCCGTTTGAATAATGATAACAACACATGGTGGAATCGCGCTGCTTCTCGCACATTCTCGGACGCCTCCAACGATGCAAATAATTTTTTTGTTTAAAGATGCTAATGATACTGGGATATTAAGGGGTGACTGCTGTGATGTTGCAAAGCATCGACTGTTTTGTAGAAAAAAGAAATGAAATGTTTTGAAAAACAACAAATGTTAAAAAGGTTTATTCGGTGTTCAGCAGGTAGGCTGCTCCATATTTCTTAAATAAAAAAAAACGGAAAATAAAAATAAGTTGAAACAATTTGAAAAACGGACAAATGCCATAAAGGTTCGTTCAGTGTCTGTCGGGTAGGCTGCTCCATTATTGAGACATAAATGAAAAATACTAAACAAATGGAATGCATATGAAACAAAGATTGTCAAAATGGAGCAGCCTACCCGACAAACACTGAACGAACCTTTATGGCATTTGTCCGTTTTTCAAATTGTTTCAATTTTTTTTATTTTTTTGTTTTTTATTTAAGAAACATGGAGCAGCCTACCTGCTGAACACCAAACGAACCTTTTGCTATAAAACAAATGAAAAAAAATATTGAACAAATTTGAAGAAAGAAAAATGTCATAAAGGTTTGTTCAGTGTATGTAAGGTAGGCTACTCCATTATTTAAAACATTGAATATCATGTTTATGTTTTTTGGTGGTAGAATGGATTTATTTGATTTCCATTATTGTCAATGGGGAAATTTGTTTTGTATGATGTCTGTTTCACATGACGAGCACGGTGCCAGAACAGATTAAATTCGTTATTTGAAGTTCCACTGACAAATTGATGACCTTCGATGAAGACGAATTGAATAAGACACTCAATTTTAAAATGAAGTTTTCAAGTTCAATTTACTATACACAAGTTTTTTTACTATACACAAGGAATTTCTTTCAGTTTTATTAAACAATAGAGATTTTATACAAAATTTGAAAATATCCAAAGTTACTTTACAATTTATTGATATATTTTAGTTTTGTTATATTAGTTTTATAAAACTGTAATATCAATATAGCTATAGGTTAAGTACTAATTGTAATTAAGAAGCAATAAAATGCTTATCTTCAAACACTAAGACGGTTAGGTGAGGTCGTGGTTTTCTATTCAGCTTTTCAGGTAAACTCAAATATTCACAATTATTTGACAGTACGATTTAATACTCAGTGAAAATAAATACTGTACAATTCCTGACTGCTACGAATAGTACATAATTGCACTTATTTGTGTCGTTACATTTACTTCCCCATTTTTGGAGGACGGGCTGTGTAAATTATGTATGTCATTCACAAAAGTGAATGACTGTGTCATCAGTAAGAACAAGAGAGCATGAACAAAGGAAGAAACGCCATAAAAAGGGGGCAAATGCCTAGCTGCCATAGCCAAACATGGGTAACAACAAACAAAGCTGGGGAGATGCCGGAAGACTAGTAGCACCGCCCTGGCGATCAGTCGCCACAACACACACAGTAGATCAAAATAGCTGCCAAAACAAAAACATCCAAGCAAAAGATGGATGTATCTGACCCGAGGGTGCAGAATTACCCCAGCAAATATGGTAAAACCAAAGCAGAAGGGAAAGAGGGGAACAAAAAACCCGCTTCCCTGCAGCAACAACCCCTGCCCAAAGGGCACAAGGGCCCCAAGTAGGGGCAAAAGGAGTCTAAGCACTCTCAGCGGGTACCCCCCCTTAACCATGGAAACCCCTGACACAGTCCCCGGGGCAGAGCCCCTCTTCAATCCCCACTATTTCTGAAGAAAAGGCAGAGTCCAAGGGAAAGGCTTCCGAGAAGGAAGGTGGCTGGGATGAACAGCGGGAAGAACGAGCTCAACCACCTCTGCACCTGAAATGGAAGAGGCAGCTCTCAAAGCCACCCGAGCTTCAACCCAATCGAAATCACTCCCCAACTCCAAAACCCTCAGACAGTTTGGAGCCGGAAGCAGGGAGGGAAGAAGCAGGGCGAACACGCCCACCTATGAATGAAGCGGGGGTGCGGAAAGAACCAGAGTCGAAGCGACCAACTCCCCCAAATCCTAGGCTCTAAAATCCAAATGGAGCGGCATCTGGCCCTCCAACCAGGCAAGCAGCCAGGTGCATTGTAAGAAAGAAAGGATAGCTTGCAACGCCACTGCTGCTTGAAACTTCTCATCCGCAGACGAGGAATAGTGAACGGAAGCACAAGAGGGGATCACTTCCAGCAAGACTCAGAGTTGTAGGTGTCACCAACCCAACAGGCAGCATGGCAGAGGCAGAAGTGATCATCTCCCCAAGGCAAGGGCGACAAATAACGGCAACTTCGCACAAGGCGAGAGTGGACTTGGATGGATCCATGTTACTGAGCCCACGAGGGTTTTCTAGGGCCCTAAGGGTATGTTAACCCTATGGGAAGCCAAGGCACTGTGGCCCACTAAGCTGGTAGACCCCTTGCTTGGAAGCTGGCAAACCATCCACCAATAGCAGTGATGAAACCTCAGGGTGACGGAGGAGGAGAGCCAAACCTAGAATGGCCTAATAAGCTGCTAACCAGACCTCTGTGAAATAGGGCAAACAGCCTTCAAGAACAAGTGACAAGCCCTGAAACAATACCCCAAGCAAACTGGGAGTTGGAGAGAAATGTCGGCTATCGCATAGGTACAGTATAAGCAGACTGCAGGCAACAGTGCGCACCCCCAGCCAATAACACTTCCCTACCTGGGGCAAGACAGACAGCCCAAGACCTCCGACGTAAGGGTGAAGATAACGTGAAGCAACGAAGTCCCCAAACAGAGAGCGAATCCCAAGTGGAAAGCGAATCCCGAAAGTCCAGCTTTCCAGCTTCAGTGAACTAATGTATAACCCTGAAATGTTATCCTAATGTACCTAGTAATTCTTGTTTCATTATTGTGTCTTGTTATTACTGTGTATTATTCTGATCTGCTTTTTGCATCAAAATTTCTTGCAATCAACCTGCAAACATTTTTTGTCTATTACTGTAATTATTCTACTTACAATTAGTTGTACCTGTAAAGTAAAGTTGTAAAGTACAGTACCTGTAAATATTTTTTTTTGTCAATTTTACTGTTAAATTATCTAAAAATTATGTTAGTTTAAGGACTTGCCCAAAACGCTATGCGTGCTAGTGGCTTTACAAGAATGTAAATTCAAGTTAATTTCTATGTTCTCTGTTAACCCAATGTACCTTCTTGTATATAAATAAATAAATAATTATTCTTTTGAGTGGTAAGTAGATGGCTGAGGTGATCTATTGATGGTTCTCTGATAAGCTATGCCCATCTATCTTGAGATGATTTCGGGGCTTTTTTTAGTGTCCCCGCGGCCCGGTCCTCGACCAGGCCTCCACCCCCAGGAAGCAGCTCGTGACAGCTGACTAACACCCAGGTACCTATTTTACTGCTAGGTAACAGGGACATTGGGTGAAAGAAACTCTACCCAATGTTTCTCGCCGGCGCCTGGGATCGAACCCAGGACCACAGGATCACAAGTCCAGCGTGCTGTCCACTCGGCCGACCGGCTCCCGTACTTGAATTTTTTGTTGTAATATTTAATTTTCGGGAATTTTGAGATGTAGGTGGCATTTTAGCATCATCAGAATGCTTACTGTCAAAGTATGAAAGTGCACTTAACCATCATAGGAATATTAATAGTGCAGTAGCCCATAGACCTGTATCCAATAAATCCACTATACCCAAGTTAAATTGGACGAGACTTCAATATTATGAAAAAATCTCCGAATACTGTTGTAAGCGTTTAGCAAGTTTTGGGATATAACCACCTCTTCAAGACGTGCACATGTGGTCTATGGCACACATCTGACTCATGATTCAAAATACTACACATTAAACTTCGACACTGCACGAGAGTAACACATCACTCGTAACACGCTATGCTATAAACGGCTCAACACTGCAACCTTTAACAGAAAAATCTTTCTCCAATGCAAACAGGCCACCAATCAATGATTTTAGTCACAATTTAGTCGCGTTTGGTTATCAATATATTGCTCATAATTTCCAGATATTTTAACAAATATTTGGGTGGCTTTATGGAACTTCAAATCATTAAACTCTTTTGAAAGACCACCATAAATAAGTAATATTTACATGACTTTACATGAGGACTTCAATCTCACCACTGGTAGCGGCTGCCATATTGTTTACATCGCCGAATGTTGGAAGTGTTCGATTGTATTCAAGTAACTTAAGTTCCCTCTCAAATTATGCCCCGATGGTAAAACTGTTTTAGTGATCATATTAATTTAAAGGAATTAACTTTTGTTTTTGATAAATAGTACATTTTTGATAAAAATGTAACAAATTTTGCAAACAATTATTTAAATATTAAAATAAAATGAACATCAAAGCGTTCGGACAAAATATCTGATCATATGACCCACCTGCGTTCGTGGTCGAGGTTCACGTGCGCAGCCTTGCGCACGGGGGCTAATGATTATAATAAATTTTGTCAGGATTTTTTTATTATTATTAACAAACTTAGGTATACACAGCAATGTGCTGCTACCTTATTCTATATGAAAGATTACACAGTGTAGATCAAAAACTAGCTATAAGTTAATCTAATATTCCCATCTCACAGGACGGTTAGTCATACATGGAATCAGGGGAGAAAATACCAGCCTCAACACAAAAACAAATAAACTCTCTCCTCAAAAAATGAGGAGAGAACATGAGATGCACGGCTGATCTACCAGCCTCCACCAGCAAAATCTGGGTACAGCACAAGAATATTTTCCAAGATTCCTGAGTGTATGAAGTAATTACAGAGCTCAAAGTACCTCATACCATTTGGTCTGAAGTCACTTATAACAGGGCAGTCACAGATATAGTGTTGGAGAGTATGTCCTTTCTCTTGTTCACATAGTTTATAATTGGAATGTTCACCACTGGAGAGTCATTATCTTCAGCCACCTGCCATATATAGATATCGATATCCCAGCCTGATTCTGGCAATTACAATGTCACACTGTCTAGTGGATATGTCATGCTGCCCGTACATATAATTCTCGATTCTAAACATGTCATAGCTCTTTATACTCGTGCTTTCTGGTCTTTGTGTGTCAGTAACTGCTCTTCTGTCCTTCCTTATATCCTGAAATATTGCGGTTTTTACAGCAGAAATCGGAATGCCCATATCCAACTCAATTTCAGGCTTATCACAAGCAGATTTAGCTGCCATTTTTGTGTCATCATGCTGAACAACGCCTATGTGAGATGGTATCCATACAAATGAGAGACTGAAACTTTTGCTCTTTGCATTAATAATGTTGTTTATAATGGATGTTACAACATTCCTAGTATCTATCACCACATTTGTGGACAGGGGTTACTCTCGCTTTTTTTTTTTTTAGAATATCTGGAAAGGTTTGGAGTTCAAGTGACTTGTTGAAGAGCAATGCAATGGCAGGAGCTAAAAATCTGGAGGCTTTTTTGTAAATAAGAGTTGGTATCTCCTCAAGGGCACTAGACTTGGTTTTAAGGGAAAGGATTATGTCAGTAACATCAGTGGAATTAGTAGGCATTAGGTACAGAGACTGTGGATAGTTACCTGTAAGATAGTCCTGAATATTAGTACTGGAAGATGGAATATCATTTGCAAGGGATGACCCAATGGAAGAGAAGAACCTGTTGAACTCAAGAGCAGTGTCAGAAGCTGTAAGCAGACCATCGTTATTGGACAGGAGTATTGGTTTGTCATTTAAAATCTTCTTTGATCCCAATATTTGAGAAATTGTGCTCCATGTTTTCTTAATATTGCCCTTTGTGTGGGTAAATTTATCTTCGTAGTATTTAGGCTCTCCTAATTATTTTAGATAGCAATGATGAGTAATTCTTTGAGAATTCTTTGGAGACGATTCCTAACCTATACTTCTTCTCAAGGTCATGTTTTGTATTTTCCTTAAATATTCCTTCCTTTTCCTTGTTTCCTTAAAGATGCTCACCCGCGACTTATCTTCTCCCCAGTTATATCTGCTAACAATTGCTTGCATTAAATAATTCTTCTGAATTCTCTATATGGTTGAGTGGGGAATAACTCTCACAGTGAGGGCGGCGCTACATCATGAGGCTACATGGCGGTTCATAACAGTGCAAAATGAAGGGACTCTACCTACCTGTGACGACTCAAGAAAGAGACCTCGGAGTGCACGTAATATGAACTCTAACTCCAGAGATACACATAAATGAGATAATGTCTGTAACGTACTCTTTGCTAGCAAAAGTTAAAACATCATTGAGAAGCCTAAGAAGGCATTTAGGGTGAGTTAGAATGCCTACATGAGAACAGTTTCAGAATATGCCTCCCCCACCTTAAGAAACACATAAGGAAACTGGAATAAGTTCAAAAGTTTGCGAATTGACTGTCCCAGAATTGAGAGTGATGGAAAGTGAAGAGCGACTGAAATAACTGAACTTGACTATGCTAGAAAAAAGATGAGTGAGCAAGGAGACATGATAAAGATGTATAAAATCCGTAAGGGGATTTACAGAGTGGAAATAGGTGAAATGTTTACAATGAATACCAATAGAACAAGAGGGCATGGGTGGAAGCTTAGAACTCAGAAGAATTACAGAAATGTTTTCTATGTTTTCGAAATTAAAGTTTTCATATAGAATAAGAGTAGTGGATAATCATAATAAGTTTGGAAGGGAGCTATAAGGAGAAAGCTCCAAGCCATTAAGACTATACAGCAATTGGAAGGGATCGGGATAAGGATTTGGGATGGAACGGGATAATGGAATGGAATAATTAGGAGGAAGCGCCAAGCCATTACGACTATATAGCACCTGGAAGGGGTCAGGATAAGGTTTTGGGAAGGGACGGGAGGGAAGGAATGGTGCCCAACCACTTGGACGGTCGGGGATTGAACACCGACCTGCATGACACAAAACCGTCGCTCTACCGTCCAGTCTAAGTGGTTGGGCTACCCAACAACTTGGACGGTCGGGGATTGAACGCCGACTTGCACGAAGCGGGACCGTTGCTCTACCGTCCACCCCAAGTGGTTGAAGAGTAGTGGGAAAATGGATGACCTAAAGGAACAGGTTGTGGAAGCAAACTCTAATCATAACTTTAAAAGTATATATATGTGATCATAATATCAGATAAAATCAGATATTATGTTCCTAACTCTGCTCTCCTCTCACTATATTATGCACTAATCTACCCCTATCTTAATTATGGTATCTGTGCATGGGGGTCTACCACTGCAAACCACCTTAAGCCCATCATCACACAGCAAAAATCTGCTATCAGAATAATAACTAACTCTGCTTTCAGACAACACTCAGCTCCCTTGTTTAAATTCCTAAACTTGCTAAATATTAACTCCCTCCACACATTCTCTTGTGTCAACTACATTTACAAAACCCTGTTCTTAAATGCAAACCATGCTCTGAAACTCTCACTGGACAGATGTAATAGGACCCATTATCACCACACCAGAAATAAATATCTCTTTGATATCCCCAGGGTCAAACTTAATCTGTGTAAACACTCTATGCAAATTAAGGGACCTAGTCTATGGAACTCACTCCCTAGTGAATTGAAAAACTGTAAAACTTTTGCCTTATTTAAAAGCAAAACCAAAAAGTACCTAATTTCATCTTCTTAGTTTCCTACACTGAGCTTTAAATTTGCTCTGTACCTAGTGTTACCCAATCTCCTAATTTTTATGTAATATCAAACAACCTTATCATTGTGTTCATTGCTGTCTTCTTTTATGTGCTAGCCATATGCTGTATTGTGCCTACCAATTTTTTGTCAACTACCATTCAAGCTGTCATTGCAATCAATCTTAGCTACCTATGTGCTTTAATATACTGTACCTACAATTTTCTCTCATCTTCTTTTTTTTTAATTTCATGTAATCTGTTATCATTTTTTTGTCTATAAATTTTGCAAGTATTTACCTCCTTAAAATTTTCTTAGATTAAGGACCTGCCCGAAACGCTGCGCGTGCTAGTGGCTTTACAAGACTGTAATTACCATATTTGTATCCTCACATTCCTTATGTACATTCTTGTATATGCATAAATAAATAAATAAATAAATAAATAAATAAATGTGAGAAAAATAGGGCAGGAGTCATTGCATTATACTGGCGACTAGTAAGGCGGGATCCAAGAGGCAGTGCTCGATCCTGCAGGCACAAATTGGTGAGTATACACACACACACACACACACACACACACACACATAAAACACACACACACACATAAAAACACACACACACACACACACACACACACACACACACACACACACACACACACACACACACACACACACACACCAGAGGGTCTGGTAGCAGAGTGGACAGCGCGCGGGACTCGTAATCCTGTGGCCCAGGTTCAATTCCCGGTGCCAGCAGAGACAAATGGGCAGAGTCTCTTTCACCCTGATGCCCCTGTTAGCTAACAGTAAATAGGTACCTTCGAGTTAGACAGCAGTTACGGACTGCTTCCTGTGTGTGTGTGTGTGTGTGTGTGTGTGGAAAAAATTAGTTAGTAGTAGTTATTAACAGTTGTCCAACCAGTTGTCATTGGGTTGGACGATAGAGCGACGGTCTTGCTTCATGCAGGTCGGCGTTCAATCCCCAATCGTCCATTCATTTTCCCCCCGTTCTATCCCTAATCCTGACCCCTTCTCACTGCTATATAGTCGTAATGGCTCGGCGCTTTTCCCTGATAGTTCCCATCCCTATTATGGTTCAATCCCCGACCGTCCAAGTGGTTGGGACACCATTCCTTCCCCCGTCCCATCCCAAATCCTTATCCTCACCCCTTCCCAGTGCTATATAGTCGTAATGACTTGGCGCTTTCCCTTGATAATTCCTTCCTTCCTTCCCGTCCTATAGTGACAGTTGACTGACTGACTGACAGGCGGGCCGAAAGAGCAGAGCTCAACCCCCGCAAGCACAACTAGGTGAATAAAATTAAGTGAATACATTCACACTCATATATTTATGTACAAGAAATACATTTCGAATTTAAAAATAGTTTCCATATACAATGAAACGCTACAGCGTAATCTAATGTTTTGGAATAAAAAAAAAACTACAGAAACAAATCTATATTTATAATACAAATTTTATACAAATAATTAAAATGCCAATGATTTTAGAGGTGATACAGTCTATCTAATGTTGTCCAGGG